ATAACACATGTTGCAATTACAGCATATCAACCTATTTTCATTTCAATGCACAGGTGGCTGTGAAAAATAAAAGCCATGACAATTGTTTTTATTAATCACAGCTGTCAGAATACGTTTACAATAGTTTTGGGTAGTTAAGGTTTTCAAAATGGGTAGAGGAAAGGTTATTAGTGAGAAAAGTCGGTTACTGATAATTGAATTTTTTAATTCTGGGAAATCAAACTCAGAAATTGCAACTTTGTTAGACTTATCGCGGTACAGTGTGAGAAATATTGTTAGAAGATATAACGTAACTGGTACAGTTAATATTACGCCACGATATGTGAAAAAAAAGTAATATCACAAATGCCGACCGAAGAGCATTAAGAAGAATAATCGTGAAAAACATACGTGTCAATTATTTACAATTAAGTGCCCTGTGGAGTGACGCTGCTGGAAGGAGAATTTCGAGGTCCAGAACTCATAGGGAGGCCCACAAACTGGGATTTAGCACTAACTTGCAAGGTAAGTTTTCTTATAAAAAAAGTGAAGTAAAAACCCTAAAGTTGCACAACTTGTTTATAGGCCAAAGAAACGCCACTATTAACTCCACTGCAAAAGAAAAATCGGCTTAGATAGGCTAAAGAACATAGACAATGGACAGCTCAACAATGGTGTGCAATACAATGGAGTGATGAGGCCCGATTCGAAGTTTGTGTTGGTGACAGTTGCAGTAGAGTTACTCGCAAAAAAAAATAAGCATTCCATGTTGACTGTCTGAAGAGAAAAGTGAAGTTTCCAGCATCCATTATGGTCTGGGGCAGTATGTCATCAAAAGGAATAGGAAAACTTCATTTTATTGATGGAAATGTGGATACAAACAAATATTTGGCAATTTTAGAAGAATCGCTTTTACCAGTGATGGAAGAATGTTTGACATCCGGCCAAGATTTTGTGTTTCAGCAAGATGGTGCAGCGTGCCATACCTCAAAAAAGGCTATAAAATGGATGGAAGAAAATAATGTACCACTTTTGAAATGGGTTTCTAGCAGTCCAGATCTGTCACCTACTGAAACTTTGTTGCACGAGATGAAAAAGGTTCTAAGACAACATCCTGCTCGTATAATCACCGAACTGAGACAAAAGCTTCAAGAAATATGGGATTGTTTTACACCAAACTTTTGCCAAAACTTGGTTAACACTATGCTCCAAAGAATTTCAGCCGTAATAAAAAATAAAGGTGATGTTACCCAATGGTAATCTTTCAATTGTTGCTTTGTTAACTTCGTGCAGTTATAGGTCTAAGTGATTTCAAATATGTATTTTTTACGACTAGAGTGTATCTAAAATGTTTTTGAGAAAATAAATTGTTTTAGGAGTAAATAGTTTCGTCATGTTTAGTTTATAAAGGCATATTTTGGTACACGTCTTGAAGTGGGCCAACTGAAGTGGGAAGGGGCTCGTACGATCGGGCTTATCTAAAAAGCTCAACGAAAAAAATCCCGCAATGGTTAGTACACATTGTGTTATTTCTCGGCAAGCTTTGGCTTCCAAAACGTTGCCACAGAAATTACGCCAGACTTTGGACTCGGCTATAAGGATTGTAAACTGCATCAAGAGCAGCGCTTTGAACAGTCGGTTATTTACTTTATCTTGCGAGGATCTCGATTCTGATCACAAAGTTCTTCTGTTCCATAAGCTGGCTGTCCAAAGGCAAGCAACATGTTGACTCGCCTTTATGAATTGAAAGAAGAGGTAATTCTTTTTCTTGAGTTCAAAGCAAAACACGATTTCTTGAAACGTTCAAAGATGACACATTTCAATGGAGGTTGGCTTATTTAACTGGCATATTTGACTCCTTGAATAAGCTAAACTTGAAACTTCAGGGCAGAAACAACACTATAATAAGCAATTATGTTTGAAGCAATTAAAAAACAAACTGGACGCAAATTTTAAAGCTGACAAAAAAACTCATTTGCAAGCGCGGGAAGACGACTTTCGCCGATACTATCGATACATCAATTCAGTGTCACCAATATGGCACATGACAAGAAATCCAATTGTTGTCGATGTGTCACAGTTACTAGAAGAAGTTCAGGAAGAATTTTTAGAAATAAAGGCTGATTCGTTCATGAAAGAAGACTTCCATCTTTGAACATTGGAGAAATTTTGGAACAAAAGATTGCCTGTTAATTCGACACTTGCCTCTCTTGCTTTACGAATACTAGTTCCTTTTTCTTCAACCTACTGATGTGAGACAGGCTTTTCTGCTCTAGTTTTAGTTAAAACTAAACAACGAAATCGTCTTGATGTCTATGAGGACGTGATGATAGCTCTGGCAAAAACAGAACCTGGAATCAACCAACTGGTACAGAACATGAAATCTCAAGTGTCTCATTAGTACCGGCTCTTATTTTATTCAAGTTTTTCGATAAAAAACATTTTTTAGTTTATTTAACTTTTTGAAGTTTCTTTATTAGAATTAAAATAAAAGTCATTGTACCTATATAGTGTGCGTTTTTTTTTGTAATTATTGAAAAAGTAAAGGGGGAGCATGAACAGATAAATTAATAGTCCGGGGAGCCTGAACAAAAAAAAGGTTGGGAAACCCTGGTGTAGAGGATAATAAGTAACAATGCCAACATGCAATTTATTTTGAAACACCATCAGTCAGAAAAAAATAAAAGTGATGTTGGGATGAAAATGGTACGCGAAACAAATGACTATCTGATAATTTCAAGGCCTACCTAGGGAAGTGTGTTTTTTTCATAATTAAAGTATGGCAATGGGCGTATCATACATTTTCAGAATCAGAATCAAAAACTCTATCGATCTGTACAAAAATCCAGTATGGCGTGTAGAAGAAAAGATAAAGTTGAGGACAAGAGACGAAACGTCATATTGAAATTCTAATTATGCCATCTTCTAGAGGAGAAAAAGTGGCAATGTTAATGTGCAATTTATTTTGAAATCCCACTACAAATGAAGTCAGGAAAAAAATTAAATCGATTTTGGAAAAATTCTCTGTCTCTCTCCGGAAGTACTTTGAATTTGGAAACTTTCTAAGCGGCATTGTGTTGATTACCTAAATTCGTAACTTTGACCCTATTTAAGCCACTTCGTATCTTTTACAGTTTCCGAGAATCAAATGGTGAGAGTCGAGTTTTGAAACATCCTGAATATTTGATAAAATATTATTAGTAAAACGCAAATAAAGCATACCTTTATTAGGGTGGTTCACAAAAAAGGTGTCTTGGTGTTCTTCCGGTACTGTGTTCTATGACATAAAAGAACGTTGTATGAATTTTATTCAGATTCATATTTATTGTAGCATTTCAGATAGAAGGATATTCCTCCGGATGACTTCGATATTTCCTAAATATTAAGTTTAAATTGGATCACGTTTCAGAACACGCTTTAGAGTGAACTGATTCGGATGTAATCGCGTGAGCTCGAAAGCGGAAATTCTGAGTACCTTTGTCTTCGCGGTAAAGCACAATTTAAAAGGCGATTTACATTGTCGTATTTCCCTTTATAAAAATCACTTGATGAGTATTACCTACCTTTAAGTGATAAAGCAGTGAGATAATTATCATCCTTTTGTGAATGAGTTTTGTGCATGATATCAACTGTTGTGAACTAGCAAAAATTAGCATTGTTGTGGACAATTTTTCCTGGGAACGCTATATTGAACGAAATTAATTTTATTTTATTGAATTGTAACTTGTTTTTTCGGTGATATTAAATTTTTATAATAAGTTCTCTCAGAATAGATAAAGTGTAATGGTAAAAATGAACTCACATACAATAATGCATAGAAATATGAGGAAATTAGGATCACTGGAATTGACAAAAATAATTATGATAACTATGTTGTTTTGTTTTTGTATGTAGAAAATGTCAATTTGAGAAAAAGTGGATTTTGCGTTTATTATTAATGCCCTGATGCATGACTTAAAAATCGTTTAGATAGTGATAAACTGTGGGATAAGCTCACTTTGAACATGCAAAATTCGCTAGTCTAACCATAAAATGACTGAGTTACAAGCAGTCAAAGTTCATTGTTTTTTCAATCAAAATACTCATTTAATAACATCGGAAACACGGATCCAAACCCTATAGTATGGAATATCTAACTTCTTGATTTGAAAAGGCCTTTCAGAATGTACTAAAACATACAGTATGTTAGACTCTGTAAATAGTGGCATGTTTACGAACTAAAAGCTTGCTCTGTATATTTAAATGGATTCAAATTCTGCAGGTCTGCAGGAATTTCTTTGCTGAATGCAACAATAACCCATGAAGCATAAATAAAATGAGCCAAAAACGATTAAATAAAACTTGAGGTCGTGTATTCCAATTTTACTTCCCAAGCTACTGGCGAGGAGGTATTGTAACAAAAAACAAACAAAGTATTTATTGCCCAAATGAACAAAGCTCCAATTGACCGAATGAGAAAAAAAAAGAAAAATCGCTAGAGTTTCCATAAGTAAACATAAAAACATGAAATGAAAATATACGCAAAAGCACAAATCAAGACAATACGGAAGTCAAGACACATAACAATAAGCCTTAGCGAGAGGTTTATCTAAATTTCTTGGAGTTAGTATATTGATGCGCTTCCAAGCCCGGTAATTCGACATTTGCCCTTAAAATGATAATGAAATATTTCCAATATGGACGTCCCACGGAACTCGACGAACGTACATAAATACACACACATATATATATATATATACTTGCTCCCTGGTTGACCAATATCTGATAGCGGCAACGCCTTGCTGGCTTGACGTTCCAAGGTTAATCACAACAACGTTGCCACATAGTGTGGGGACTCTGGACTAATTTATTTGTATGAGCCTGCTTGACTGACTTGATCCATTTCTTTATTATACATGTTCGTGACTAACTTTTCTCTCAGAGGAGCCAGCTTGCATGAACGTAATTCTTTATGAATTGATGAAAGCGTTGCGTATGAAGTGCAGAGTGACCCTACTTAACGCATTTTTTCTTTATTATAGGTAACAATTGCCACAGAGTTAGGAAAAGTAGTCACAAGGATGCAACTTGAAAGATCAGAAGTAGCTTTCTACGTTTACACAAATGGATCTCTTCTCAGGTAATTATACTATTACCTGTTTGTATTCGATAAAGAAAAAGTCTGTGCGAAGATATAAACAAGAGCAAAAAAACTTGCATGTCAGCAGTAAAAGTACAAGAAGAACACGAAAAGGTCTTTAACATTTAATTTCTTTTTGTTACATACTATTTATTTCACACTTTAAAGAGACATTCCCAATATGATAATCTGCAAGTACAAGTACAAGTACCGGACACATGGTGCTTGTAACGTACCTGGTTGGGTAAATGTGCCGCAACATGTTGCAGGAGGTCAGTCACATATTGCGCAACATTCGCCCATAACATTTACTTCGATATCTGCAGCATTTTATACTTACAAAAGGTGCCGCGCATATGTTGCAAGCGAGTTGTTGAACATGCTGCGGCACATACCACGCCACAAGTTCTGCGCCATTTTTGGTCAACGGAACGTACCTTGAGTGGATGGAAGTGGATTAGGTGTAGGAAAGCACTAGAAAAGTGGCATGCTTACAGCTGGTAAATATGGGAAATATGCTTCACGGCAAGCTGAAAGAAACGTCGCAAGTGAATTTGAAAACAAAGGGGAAGTGGACATTCCTATAGGGTTGAATATATCAAACTACCCGTCAAATGTCCTGCTCCGAGCGACAGAAGGGTCACCGACTACAGATAAAGTGGGAAGATCAACGAATTAGAATAGGTTAGAAGGATGCTTATATGGTAGTGTTTGTCGCCAAAATTTCGTTTTTAGTGCATTTTGGGTAGATTCGCCCACCAAAGTGACAAATCAACACATCGGTCTAAATTATTTCTGGAAAGCATATTCAAGTAGCCGATCGTAATAAGTGCACTCACGCACAGCAGGGCAGTCATACTATCTGTATTTGAATCGCTTAGTTATTATTAATAAACAGGGATAAATTAAATAAGGCTAAGAACCGAAAGTAAATATTTATCAACGGTACACCATATGAACAATTCCGCTTAATTCGTGATTTTGGAAAGTAGAAAATACTAAAAAATTGTCTTCACCAAATACCAGCAATGAATTGAACTCTTCCCGGTTTTTCTAAATAGTTGTTGTGACGAGCAGATTTTTGGCTAAAAATATACTTTAATCAATGCTAAAAGCAAATACTTAGTTGAGCATAGTATGGAAATTACTGCTTTTATATTGTCACTATACTCATCCAATAAAATGGTAGAATTTTCTTTTGTTTTTTTAAACTTCACGTACCACGAAGGCCTAAGGCCTAAACACCCATGGGATACCTTGGGGCTAGAGGGGGATACAGGGGAAAGGGGGAACGCCTCACGGACTCTGGCGAGGGAACACGTGTGCATACAACATGCACACATTCTGGCCCCGCCTACCACCTACGGAGAATCAGAACATCCATAGCTAAGAGAAACATTTCTCTTGGGACGGGATTCGAACCCGCACAGCGCACGGCGACTGGTCAGGAGACCGAAGAGTCTACTACTGCGGCCACCGCTGCTGCCTAGATAGAAATGATTAATTAATTTGATATTCATAGATTTCTGTGACATTAAAATTTACTTCAGGATAAACCTGAAGCGGCGATTCGAGTTGACTGACGAAGCTTTAAGAAATATGAGCAGTTGGCCTCCAGTGGTTCTCCAATTCGAAGGTAGCAAGAAACTCTACTTGGACAAAACTACGTTCCAAACAAATCTAACAAAATTCAGGTGAGTTTTAGAACATAGTACAAGTTATCATTTATTTCTTTTACCTTTTGGAAATGGAAATAACGTTACAATTGCGGATCCAGAGGGGGGCGTCCAGGGGTTTCGGAGCCCTCCCCTTCCCGAAATATCCGAATTAAAAATTAATTTGGAACGTGCCCCCGCTCTTCACTTTATAATTACCGATATTTTCCGAGACTGGCATCTTCCTGGTTATAAATCCTGAGCCCATTTCATATTCATCAAGTGGACCGTCCCCCAAATTATCTTCGAGATCCGCTGCTGCTATAGAATACCCAGAATACCCGTATAGTAAAACGAAGCCAATTTAGTTATATTAACAAACAATACTTACATAAAAGAACAACATTAGAAGTTCTTATCAACATAGAGAGAAAAGATGTATTTGAATATTGTTCAAAAATACTATGGTGAGATGAGAGTACTCTAATAATACAGCAACACCACATGCAACTTCAAGCTCCACTAACTTTAGCATATTTGCACACTAGAATGATATATAATTTTTTATACTGATTTTATCTTGAGTATTCAACCCTTTTCTCCAAAAGAGATAGTCTAGCGAAATTCTCTCAAGACAGGCAATTCACGTCAAATAGACCTTATTCAAGAAACCATTAGATGTTTAAAAAAATGCCGGGTGCGTTAAGTGTAATTTTCTTTTTCCTTTTGTAAGGGTCAATAATAACTAATTTCTACGCCACTAGTCCAGTCTCAGTCACGAAAATTTTGTATGTATTGGCTCTATTATTAATATTCCATGTAGAGGAAAGTCGCCGAATATTGGACAGTTGCCTAATTTTGGATACTGCATTATCTCAAGACCTATTGACAGTCTGCTGTAAGTAAGTACACAAAACTAAAGCTTTCTAACATAAAATAATCCTGTGTAAACCTTATAGTTCAGTTGTGCACTTTCATGTTTATTTGTAACACAGAGTTTTTCGTTTCTCCGGCTAAAAACTGCTATAAAGAGGTAAGTATGGAAAGTATTCAATTGAAATTTGGCATGAATGTACTAGAATATTTTTAGAATGAGCACAAGTAACTGAATCGAACATTTCTGTTAAAGTTTTCTTTGTTTCAATCACATAACTTTGAACACGAATGTTGCCTAATTTGGGATTAGATAAAACTGGATATCCGAAATTAGGAATCCAATTATATGTGTTTCAAAATATATTATCCTATACATTTCTTTCAGTAAAGTGCCTGAGAAAGGACTCGCACATAAAAAACGGTATCCAGAAAACATTAAAGCATTAAACTGTTTCAGCGTTCTAAAGTCGACTCTCGAACTATACGTCAAACGTGGCAAATCCTTGGAAGAACAATGCACGCTACTGATGGGTCGTAAACCAGCATTATCAACTGAAATGGAAGAATACTTGGTACAGTACTGTTTGGAAACCGACAGAAGATATTATGGTCTAAGACTTGCAGACGTTCGTAGACTGGCATACCAGCTTGCTATAAGAAATCACATCTCGCATCCCTTCTCAAAAAGAGACGGTATTGCCGGTCAAAAATGGCTCCGAAAGTTTTTGAGTCGTCATCACAATGTATCTTTGAGAAAACCGCAGGAGATTTAAAAAAATAGAATTAAAAGGTTCAACCCCTGAAAATATCAACAGTTTCTTTGATATCCTGGAACTAGCTATGGATAAGATACATTTTAACCCACTAAGAGAAACTGGCATCACCACAGTACAATCCAAGATTGCTAGAGTCATCACCCTGAAAGGAAAAAAATAAGTAAGAGCCGTGAAAAATAAAACACTAAAGATAGTAGAAGACGAAAGTGAATCTTCTGACTCCTCAGATGTTCCTTATGAAGACGACTCAGATATAGATGCCGATATGAGAGTGACGCAGAGTGAATTTTCTGCACAGCACGGTATTCAGAGGGCCAACATGGAGAAGACTGGGTACAGTGCACAAAAGCTTACGTGTGTGATTTTTGTTTGGCAAAATAGGTTCCTAATATTGGATGAGATATCTAATTTTGCGAACCTTTCTGTTTTATTTGAAAGAGTGCCATTTTTTAGTCGAGTCTATTTTTTATGCGGTTTATAGGTAAAATAAATGTTTTAGTATGCATCACGTGTTTTTATTATATAAGTAATAGCAAATTGGTAAACAAATCATTACAAAACATTTTAAGTCAATGGCTTAATCAATTCCGAAAACATAAGCATTTTCGGTTCGAAATTATAATTTCAACACTCTATATAGTAAGCGGGCAATTTAGAACCTATATTTATATGAACTTTTTGCATTATTTTTGCCTGAATTTTTACATGTATTGAAAAGGTATCAAAATCATATAATATTGTAGTAAAAAGATCCGTCCATTCTTTTTATAGTTGTTTCGGTTATGAATTATAAGTGAATCATCTCTCATTATTCATACCTACCTGTTATGCTTTTCCAGAGACTCAATAATAAAATCATCGGAAAGTTCCATAACTGACGTGTTGAGTTGGTATACGTCTGTTAATGCGGCGCTTTTGGAGCATCTTACAAATCAGATAAAGGAAACAGACAGCAGCGGAGTGTGGAGGTGAGCCTTAATAAAGCACAAACCTAATGCCGGGTGAACATCAAAGCAACAAAACAAAAACAAGGAACAAAACAGAAACGCAACAGATGAGCAACTTTTTGGAAATAAAACAAAATGAAAACTTATGTCCACATTGCCAAGAGACAAAAAAGTTTTCAGTTGTTTTGTTTCGTGCAGTTCACACAAAAAATTTTCAGAGTGAAAATATGTTTTTATGCTGAAAGGCAGAAGCGCAAAGATTTTATCATAATGTCTGCTTGCTTATGTGTTTCTCCAGAGTTGTGACTGGGAAAATAAGAAACGTTTTTGGGTGAAACCATCCTAACGTGAAAGATATGATCGTGGTATTGAAGAATTATTGTCCGAAATGATACTGGATTGCGAGGAGAAATATGTTCTAGTTTCGAGAACTTTTTAAGAATGTCCAGAGAAAAATTTGAAGAATTAATACAGCTGATCGGTCCTGAAATTTATAAAAAAATAACATTGGAGAAATGCCATTAACGTAATTGAACACGGCCATAACACTAAGATATAGGATACTCCCTATATAGTTCGATTAATTTACTCGTGTTATCTACACTCCACTTTAAGTTTTCACCCGACATACTGCGTATTTATTTTTAAACACCCTACACAGCGCCTTCGAATTTGATACTAGTTTCAACAAAGTACACATCGCGCCGACAATGTTGTATGAAATGAAAACAAAACAGAAACCTTTTGATCTTTATCGACTTGCGACGGGAACTCCAAAAGTTGTCAGAAACAGAAACAAAACACGAATGTTGACGAAATGTTGCCGATTTGTTGCTTAATTGTTGAATAACATCGAGTTGCTGTTTTGTTTCTGTTCTGTTGGTTTGGTGTGAACAGAAAGTAATACAATTAAGGTTAAATATGAAATTTAAAGTGTGTAGTTTATCAATCACGTACCATGTTTTATAAAAATAAAATGGATTAAATTATATGCCTCTGCAAAATAACCCATCGTTTCAACAATTCGGCTTGCGTAGTGGTGCTGATGATACCTACGCTATACGGTCGAAACATGAATGTCCACAAAAAAGCCATTTGTATAGTCCAATTCACATGTCGTTACGGATAATACATAATTTACAGCTTTCAGCAACAGTATCTTTACTGTGTTCAATACGAATACCCATCTAAGTTACCAGTCATTATTGTGAAAGGGCAAGCTGTTAAAATATGTTAATAAGCCTTTTTTGCTGTATAAATTTATATTCACGATAGATGATTACCGCTTTCAGTAAAATATTTCTGCATCCCAATACTGAATGATTTTTTTTCAGTTTCTTGGATAGCATATCATTTTTTTACAGAAAACAAATACATAGGACAGTCATGCTACACCAATGTAGCATATTTTATTATTAAAACACAGCTTGAACTTTCCAGCTGGTATGAGCGAATAAATCGAAATTAATAACTGTAATATGTCGTAAATATCTATTTTGCATAAAATATGAATCATATAATATGTGGAAACAACGCAAATGTAGTCATAACAAACAGGTTTGTTTTTTGTGTCCTGAAAGTTCCAATTGAAAAAGATTTTTTTATTGAAAGTTGGTAGTAAAGTTTGTATTATTTAGAATAAATGAATTTGGGTATAGTATACTTCTATGGCGTATATTGTCTAATATAATACGGTGGAAGTATTTTAGTGCCTCTAAAACCTAACCAACCATATTGCGTAAATTCGCTTGAAAGGTTTAATTTTAAAGGCCCTCTCAGCTCCTTATAACGAATAGCCATCGGCTATTTTTTAAATCCAATATATGTTTAAGAACTCAAGACATAGAACAAGTTTTTCTAAGAGTAGTTGCCAAGATACAGGTCTCCAAGTTGGATAGTCACCATATTGCAGCTTATTGTGGGTATTCAAGAGATATTACATTGCTCAGAGATAAAAACTTTTCCAAGAATTGTACGGAAATATTCTCCACCTCTAAAAATATATTTAAAAAATTCAAAATTGTTTTATTTAAAGATATCCATATTTTTTATTACACGTTTTTATAGATATAAAATACTTTGCGTTTCGTAGAGTTCTCAAGATATATATATATATATATATATATATATATATATATATATATATATATATATATATATTGTCTATAAAACAAATGAATTTAATAAATTAATTATGAATCGATAGATGTAGAGGCTGCATTTTTAATCGGAAGATGCGAAAATGTATAGTTTGTTTGAACGCTTTAAGGAACAATGAATTATGCGTTGTCAGTAGTCTGTGTTGACTGACCCGAACAATTAAAGGAATCGGAAAGTTACGGAATAAATGAAGACTAAATCATTCAGCACTCTGTCTATTAAAGAGCTGCGGTATTGCTTGCCAAACTTTAATTATTTTGGACAAAATTCATAATTATTATCTAAACAAGTACTCGATAAAACTATTGATTTACGTATTCTTCCTGTACAAAACGTTAAGCAACGATAAATCTTAAAAGTGTGTATTAATATATTCAAATATATAGTAAGACTTTAAGATTGATGAGAAACAGTCAGGTCATTAGTCGAACACCCTGTATAATCATGAGTAAATATTTAAAATGCATTCCCATAGTGACGATGCAGGATAATCCTTAACAGTTTTTGAACATTTTTGTGTCTCCATTCATGCAAGGTTAGTCCACCTCTACATCTAAAATAATTACAAGGCTGCTCAACCGGCATTTAGGAATTTTGATAGAAACATGAATTAATAATAAATATAATAAATAATAATAATGTTTATTGTCCAAACTATAAGCAGATAACTAGAAAGGACCTATTTTAGAACAATAAGCATGGAAGAAAAACCCCAGAAGGCTTGCCTTGAATGCGGGTATGCATGAGCTTATAATTAATATACGTATTACTTAAACTAGAAATAAAATGAGACTCGTGATTTACTAAAAAAAGTACAATAACAAAATTAAATAGGATTTTAAAACACACATTTTCTGTATGGATGGCTTCATTTAATCATAGATCCTTTTTTTAGGTAAAATGTCTCATTTAGGGCATGAATTCTATCTTAGGGAGGTTATTAATGTTTTCTTTTCTGTTCTGTGTTTGGGGGATGTATCACGTATGTTGTCAAAATCAGTAAATAAGTATAGTAGAGGTATATTTTCGAAATCGGTAATGTTGACTATATGATATTTTGTCTAAATAGGTAACTAGTAGTTAATAATAATAATAATTAATACCAAACAGCTATTTCGTATCGTGTGCCGAATCTACAATATGCTATAATAGGATACGGACTACCCAACTGCGAGGCACTGTATATAGGAAAGTAGTCGTAAAAAATGTAATAATACTACAATTAGAAAAAAGGCTGAAATACATTTTCCATAAAGTTTCTATTTTTATATTTTCCAAGCCCCACAGAACCGTATTGGAAAATATTTCACTACGTTTCGTTAATTTCCGTACATCCAGTACCTTTGCAGAATAACGTTGTTCTAGGTATCTATTAGCATTCAAAAACCTTTTAAAAAGCATCGAAAGCACGGGAATAGCTAGCGTATATGGTGTGAACTACTTCGGAAAAGGTCACCTTATGCAAGTGAACTATATCAACTACATTACGCACGACGCTATTGCGAAAGATCTGCTCAATACATCTTTGAATTATGTTCCACAGATGAAGACAGAGTATCAATGGCTAGCTCATAATATGGCCCATTATGGAAACATCAAACACAGGTAACCTATTATTATATAAGCCTTAAGTAACTGGGTCGGGAATCGTCTCCGATGGTGTCGATCTCCCGGACTCGATGGTTGTGCTTAGAAATCGACCGATACAGGACTTTGTCGCTACCGATAACCGGCCAATACGGATATTACAAAGGCCGATATATCGCTGTTATCGGCCATTCCGTACATAATCGGGAAATCAGAGCTAAATCGTGAGGCACTTACAATGATATTGTGATGGTCTACGTAGGTGATAAAACGATGCAGACTGGAAGAACCCCTATCTATGAAACATTTTCAACGAACTTATATCAAGATATCGTTTGCGTATAAACATCAGCATATATAAAATTTTTCCATCGAAAATCACGATGACGGATATCGGTTTGTGGTGGTTCTGCAAAATAAGAAAAAAAACGAAGGTTTGTGTCCATTGTTGATCACATATATATATATATATATATATATATATATATATATATATATATATATATATCACCTAGTGAGTATCAAATTCAACAATATCTACTCTCCTTTAACAGCTACGGAAATACCTAAGATCCAATTACCACAAAAGACTAACAAAGGCAATTTATATCCTATGCAAAAAACAGAATAGAGATACGATTATTGAGAATATAATATACATTTTCTAATTATCTAATTACCTAATAAAATAAACTTGTTTTGGTTTCGTCCATCTGACTAAAACAGCAAACCATGGACAGGTGTTTCGTGCTTTTTGGCTACTCCTCAGTTTGGTCGAGGCTTGAGTCTCTCGGACAGCATAGCAACTACACACTATCCAAACTGTGTGACCTATCGAAATAAGACAACGCGAAGCGCCAAATGACACTAGAATCGGCCTCCGCGTAACAGTGAATTATAGTCTACCGGTTGGGACTGTATAGATCTCAGTCCGCAAATTAGAGACCCGGTCACCACTCGTGACCGCTAGCACGAAACAGCTGTCCATGGTTGACTGCCTTTAGTCGGACGGACGAAAGCAGAGCATGAATATTTTATTTTGTTCAATGGCAAGTAGACCACATCTACTACATAGCTAGAATCGTCGACATCTAACGGTCACGTGGTGACAGGGCTTCCCATTCGCGGACTATACGGTCCCAACCGGTATGCTGCTAATCACTGTTTCGCAGAGGTCGATTCTAGTGGTAGATGGCGCTCCGCGCTGCCTTATTTCGATAGATCACACACTTTTGACAGCGTATAGTTGCTAGGCTTCCATTCATTATCCGAGAGACGCAAGCCTAGACTAAACAGATCATGCTCATTTTAATGGCAAGTATTTTTTTATTTACTTATTGGCATTAGTACATAAAGAGTTCATGCAGCCAGTCTTAATATAAATAATAACATTAATAAGGAATCACAATAAAGAATAATAATAAAAAATAATAATTAAGAAATAAATCATATACAGGGTGGCCCATCCATGTGTGGACGGAATATTACTCATAAACAAATACATTTTGGAAAAATCTATTTATGGGATGTTATACATGATATTTGAGGGCACATTTCTAAAATATTGTCCATTATACAGGGTGTCCCAATTTCGACCTATATAATAAAGTTGTGATTTTTCAATTGGAATGCCTCAAATTTTATTGCATATTTGGATAAACCAATTCATAAGAGGAAAATTGATATAACATACTATGGGGTTTTGGTTATTAGCTACTGAGATGTAAGGTGTTGTCCAGAAAAACCGTCCACTTCGGCAACCCCTCAATCCGCCATCTTGAAATTTGGAGTGCTGAATTTTCTATCAAAAAAAACTTACACACCTCAGCTTTTATCTCATTTGTTACTTTTTCAAATTTTAATTTTTGCTCATACAGGGTGGCCAAAAATGCAAATTGTAATTTTTCTCAAAAAATTCAAACGCATCACCCTGTATAATTGTGCAAGTTTGGATTCAATTTTTATAAGCTTTTTTTGATACTAGACTCATAAGGGTTTTTACGGCTATTATTTCGGTTATTAGCACGACTTTTATGGAACGGCTTAATTCCCTAAAATATGTCATCATCCTTGGAAACAAATAAATTGTTGAGTTGAGTTACAAACTGTCAAAATTGGCTTTGTGAGCATTATAATAAAAACGTGTTTGAAAATGAATTTTTCTAAAGAAGAAATGGTGAATATGCTGTTCGTTTTGGAAACTTTTTCGTAGCATATCGCATTTATAAGCAACGGTACCCTAATATGCGACATCCAAGGCCGGAAACATTTTCCACATTACGAAAACGTTTTGAATCAAGTGGAGCAGTGGAATATAGTAAAAAATGCATAAATAAACCAAGTGTCACCAATGAGGCAAGTCGTTGGAGGTTCTATTAAAGTTGCAGAAAAATCCCTATTTAAGTGCACGGCAAATTTGAGCAGAAACTGCAGAACTTCTGTCCAAAGGATTATTCACAAGCATAGGTACCATCCATATCAACTATGCTTGCATCAAGGCCTTCGTCCTCAGGACTTCGCAGCTCGAATGGAGCTTAGTAGAATAATGCTAAATAAAGTGAGTGAAGACACTTTCCTGAATAAGGTTCTTTTTAACGATGAGGCAACTTTTAACGGCATAGGTGTTGTCAACAGGCATAACATGCACTATTATGCGACGGAAAAGCCTTACTGGGTTAGGCAAATAGATTTCCAAAACAAATGGAGCTTGAATGTTTGGGGAGACAAGTTATCGGGCCTTTCTTTTTCGATAACAGATTAACAGGTACAGAATACTTGAATTTTTTGATCGAGCATTTGCCTTTGCTTTTGGAGGATGTCAACCTGCAAACTCGGATACATATATACTTCCAACATGACGACGCACCTCCGCATTATCGTAATCGTGTGCATAACTATTTGGACTCCTGAAGTAACAATCGTTGGACCGGTTGTGATGGGCCTATATCTTGGCCTCCTAGATCACCAGATATGACACCGATGGACTTCTTTCTATGGGGCTACGTTAAGCAAGAGGTTTATAGATATCCATCATCTACCCCGGAAAATATAAAGGAAAGGATTAATGATGCTTTATTGAACATCAGAGAACACATGCTGAGGCATGTGCAACGGTCATTTATCTAAAGACTACGACTGTGTATCTAACATGGTGGAGATATTTTCGGGCAGTTTTTGTAGATTAGGTCTTTTGTAGTGATAGTTGTTCGTTTATGTTGTTGTTATAGTTGTTTTTCTCTATTACTCTTGAAGCTGATTTATACTGTTCTGATTGTTATTAGTTTTTACGTCAAATCTGTACTACTAGTGGCAATATGGAACTAGCCCACTGTTTGTCTTTTGTTTCCATGGATGATGTGATTTTTTCCTTAATTTTGTTGTTCTATTAAAAGCTTAATAACTCAAAATCTAGTGATTTTATCTGAGTCAAACCTTACATCAAAAAAGCTTATAAAAAATTGAATCCAAACTTGCACACATATACAGGGTGATGCATTTGAAATTTTTGAGAAAAAGTACAATTGGCGTTTTTGACCACCTTGTATGAGCAAAAATGAAAATTCGAAAAAGTAACAAATAAGATAAAAGCTGAGGTGTGTAAGTTTTTTTTATATAAAATTCAGCACTCTAAATTTAAAAATGGAGGACTGAAGGGTTCCCGAAGTGGGAGGTCTTTTTAGACAAAACATTTTATGTCTCAGTAGCTAATTACCAAAACCCCATAGTATGTTATATTAATCTTCTTTTTTGAATTGGGTTATCCAAATATGCAATAAAATTTGAGGCGTTCCATTTAAAAAATCACAACTTTGATATGTAGGTCAAAATTGGGACACCCTGTATAATTGCCAATATTTTAGAAATGTGCCCTCAAATGTAATGTATAACATGCTACAAATATATTTTCCCAAAATGTTTTTGTTTATGAGTAATATTCCGTCGACCCATGGATGAACCATCCTGTATAATTATGGGTTTTAATCATTTTCACCTAATTTACGAAAGCTTGACATGAATACAGAAAAACCTTTCTTGCTGGCCTGATATCCGATTGTGTATTACGGCTGCAACTGCCGATATGGTATTGACGATCCCTAGTTCCAATACCAGCACTTACGAAAATCTTTGAGTTCAATTTTTAACAATTGTTTTAAAGGTACGATGCTGTTTAAATTTGAACGTTGTTTTTTATTCCAAGCAATCCAAATAAAAAACGATCTGCTTAGTTGTGAGCTGTGGTTACATTTTCACTTGAGACGGTCATGTGTATTGTAGCATAAAAAGGAACAGATAAACATACTTTCAGTTCAATTGTCCGAGTAGTATTTCGCTGCTATAATATTGGAAACATAAATCCATGAAACATCGATATTCCAAACTGCATAACTAAGTATTATTTTATAAATCGGCGATAGTGCTGATATTGGAATCAGGCACGTAGCCAGGGCTCAAGCCCCCCCCCCCCCCCAAAATTCCAAAGTTCAGATATAAACATGAAAGAAAAACTGAGAAAATTCAAGTGATCTCAATCATATTATGTAAATATGTGAAACAAATAATTGAAAATATTTAGCCTACGTCCGTCCTTGAGGTCTAGTCTATATCTGTGCTAAAATTTAGAGAAATCGGTACAGCCGTTTTGGCGTGAAAGTGGAACATACAAACATACACGCTTTCACATTTAGAATATTAGTAGGGAAGTAGGGATATTCATTTACCACTATAAAAAGACGTCTTTCGTACCTATAGTATTTTCTTTTATCGCTACAGTATTGGACATTTATTTGTTGTTCACATACATTATTGTTTTATTAATAATCCATAAATGTCGCCCACTTTGAAATTTTCGCAAATCATCTTACATTACATCACATGTGATAAACATCGATGCTTGGAAAACATCGATGTTTTGTGCCCGATGTAAATCGAAAATCGATGTTTAGTTGTCGATGTTAACATCGAGGGCATTATCGATGATTTGCCAACATCGATCATCTCTAAACTAACCACTCGTCCACCATACACACTGCTATACGTTCATTCAACTAAAAAAAGAAAAAACATCAGACTTCAGCCTCGAACTCGGTCGCTTTTATTCCACAGACCAGAACTTTTCCGCTGCCCTAAGAAATCGCTTGTCAAATATTATTATAACACGGTACATATAAGGAATACATGGACTAAGACTATTGTCAAAAAAATATTGAAACAAAAAATTGGAAATTTTTAGCCTATATCCATCCTTGAGGTCTAGTCTATATCTGTGCTAAAATTTAGCAAAATCGGTTCAGCCGTTTTGGCATGAAAACGGAACATACAAACAAACATACACACTTTCACATTTATATATTAGTAGGGATTATTATTATTATTATAATTACTATCATTTTACTTTCATATATTTGTTTATTTAATCACAATGATTTTGAAAATATTCAATTAGTATTTACAGGTGTAAGTTGATAAAGTTTAAGATCGAAACTCACATGACTGGAACCTTTTGAATGCATCGCCATGAGTCTAGAAGAAATAGCTGGCAAAACATGGTCTGAATCAAAAATGTCAACGGATATGGCTGAATGGTATTTCAGACGAAAGGATTTTATTTGTAGATTATTAAATCGGTCTTATTACGAAAATCTGTAAAGAAACCAAATCCTGGCTACGGGCCTCATTGGAATCCGAGCAGTATCATTTCTTGTAATCAGTTTGTTCAAATCTGATCCGACCCGGTTTTATGCGCTAGTACCGCAATGTTATATTCAGGAATCGGGATCGAAACCACAGCGGTCAGAATCAAAAAAGTCGGCATCGGAATCAAAATCGTATCGTATCAAAACAATCGAATCATTGGAATCGGAATCGATTCTGTGAATTTCTACTGCGGTGTCATTGCTTTGGAACAACTCCTTCTGGACCGACCCGGCTATATCTCATACTACATAACTTTGTCAGTCCTTAAATGAGTGTCTACATTTTGTTCGGCTTACATATCAGGTTTCCAAAAATGTCAACGGATATGGCTGAATGGTATTTCAGACGAAAAGATTTTATTTGTAGATTATTAAATCGGTCTTATTACGAAAATCTGTAAAGTAGCTTAAAAGTTATATTCATTTCTCTGTATGATTTTTAACCCCCGACTCAAAATCTCCCAAATAGATTAATAAATCTGAGTGCTTTTTATGACTCATCTGTTCAAAAGTTATGAAGGGGTACTGTAAAACTGGGGGTGAGCAACAGAAAGTAAGCGAATATGCCTAAATATGTTATCTGGTGGCTGTATTGTAATCGCAAAAATTTTAGAATATGAGATATTATGTTTTTTTTATGTTACATGACATGTACACGATGTAAAGCCATGTCACTCATTTCCGTCAGTCTATTTGTATATCTGTTGGTCTGTCCGCTAATCTGATAACTGCCTATACAGGGTTTGTCCGGAAAGTTATAGGACTGAGTCGATTTAAAACAAATTATTAAGCCAATCGTTACAATTCTTCAAAACCTTTCAAAATAGGCTCCTTCTGCATCGATGCAGCGCTGCCAGCGCGATTTCCAAGCATTGAAGGCGTCACGGAAAGCATTCTCCGGAATAGCCTTGAGAGCCGCGGTGCATGCTGCTTGGATCCCCTCTGTCGTCTCAAAATGCTTGCCTTTCATCGGCCTTTTCAGGCGAGGAAACAAAAAAAGTCCGGGGGGAGGGCACATCTGGGCTGTAGGGCGGCTGCGGAAGCGTTGGGATGCCGGCCTTGGTCAGGTAGCTGTTCACAAGAAAGGCGGTGTGAGCCGGGGCGTTGTCGTGGTGCAACTTTCAGTCGGCTGCGATGTCTTGTCGGCTGCTATGTCTTGTCGGACCCGACTAACCCTTCGTTTGAGTCACCTGAGCACTAACCACGTAAAACTTGGCGTTAACGGTTTGTCCAGGAGGAACAAATTCATGTTGGACGATGCCTTTGATATCAAAAAAGACAATGAGCATCTTTTTCACTTTGTATTTGCTCATTCTTCCCTTTTTTTGGGCGAGGAGACGCCGTCGTGTGCCACTCGGAAGATTGCCTCTTTGTCTCGGGATCATACTCAAAGATCCACGACTCGTCACCTGTGATTACGTTATTCAAAAATTGGGGGTCACTTTCACACATGTTCAAATTTTCTTGGCACACTTCCACTCGCCGCAATTTCTGGTCGTCAGTGAGCACTTTTGGGACCATCTTCGCGCACACCTTGCGCATGTTCAAATGCTGTGTCACGATGTCATGAGCCACAATTTAACATCTGGGCAATTAAACGAATACTTAGTCGACGGTCTGAGTTCAAAACTTTGCGCATACGAGTCACATTATCGGTGTTTGTCGAAGTCGAAGCACGAAGCACGGTCTTCATCAGCGACCTCTTCCCGGCCTCCAAAAAGGCCTAGTGCCGCCGAAACATACCACTTCTTGCTAAAGCAACACCTGGGTAAGCCTGCTTGATCATATCAAACGTCTCTGTCGCAGATTTACCGAGTTTCACACAGAATTTAATCGCGTACCTCTGCTCTAACGAATGCTGCATTTTCGGCTTGCACCACTCACAGAAACACGTCGCGCGAAAATGCCTGTCCATGACTCTCCAAGTGCTCGGAGACAACTGACCAGCCGCTCATTCGTTAGCTAGGAACGCCCTCTACCGAATCCAGTCGGTGCGCGCACGCACCGAAGTACAGTCATGGCGGAAGAAAATGAGTCCTATTACTTTCCGGACAAACCCTGTAAATTGAGAAGTACCGCACGGGTTTCGATAAAATGTTTACACAATGTTATGACTATGCCAAGGACACAAAATCTTTGTAGTTTTTGAAAATAGGTTCAGTGGCAGCTGAGAAAAAGACCACAAAAAATTAGTCAAACTTGGTTTTTTGACTTTTGCTGATCATTTCTGTGGGGGTTAAAAATTGGGGGTTACGAGTTGCAGGGACTGGGAAGAGTATATCTCAATTTTTTGACGTTGGTGTATTTATACGCCTCCAACCCGAGTAATTCTATGCACATATCAAGCGAATTTCTCTCATCATAGATGTTCCCGTACATTCACCCTTAAAACTTAGAAAATATCTCCTACAGTCGGGTGTCGATACGTGCGACGTCGTCCCCCGATGGACAAACGTCACAGACTACTGTGGACTGCGTGCACTGTGCATAATGAAGTCCAAGAGAAGGAAGGTCTTTTAATTTGTTGTTATACATGTTCGTGGCTAACCTTCTCAATCAATCCTTTACTAAGTGATGACAGCGTAGCGTGGGAAGTACAGAGTCACCATATTTGATGCCATTTTTTGACCCCTGACGCAAAAAAGTATCAAGACGAGATTCACTCGAAGGTCAGGAGTTTGTTTAATTTGTCTAGTAAGTATCTTGTTATAGGAAGTGTAAACAAATTAGCAGGACTGCGACTTCTCTTCTATGGTCACCATACCATGAAACCGGTTACTGCGCTGTCAAATTTCTTTAAATTATATAGTGTCATTAAGTGGTTATTATATATATATTTAAGATAAACCGATTCCCGGTAGCGTCCTTTCGGAACCTGTACTCGCACATGCGTATTGGAGCCCCGTTAGACATTTTTTATAGGAACTTGTGCTATTTTTTCGTTTTATTCTATTCGTATCTGGGAGAATACTATCTTGTTCTCGAACGCCTGTACAAAATATAATTTAATCAAGTATTTATATTTCAGGAACGATATAATCAGGCTAAATCAACAAAGGTCTCCTAATTATACGGAAGCCTTGGAATATTTTGATTCGATGGCAACGTACACAGACGAACTGAGGAAGATTCAGAGGTCCTTAAGGGTTCTTATCAGGTGGGTGAGTTATTTATTAAAACAAATCTTTTTCAATTATAAGAAGAGCCTATTGAAACTTGGGTCAATGTTATCGTTCAATACGTCAAAAATTCTATTTATATTATATTAAACGGGTGTAAATGTGTTCTTTATATTAATAGATTTTCGAACTATATCCAGTTCTCGGACTCATATATAAACCCATGTTGCAATATAGCGACAACGGAAATTGTCATGTATTCCTTGCTAGGCGACGGCATCAACTCGGTGACAGAATAGTACGATCATCTATTTTTATTTTTAATTCTACCTAAAACTCACGAAATTTTTAATTTTAGCCAGTCATAGATAAAATGATGTATGTATCTTGGGCGATTACGCTTATTAAAGCATTCATGCTCCTTTCGAATCTAGATCTACCTAAGGCGTTTTTAGTAGTCTAAGCGTCAGCGGTACGAAAATGAATTCGAACTTCCGATTGTATTTTTGTTGGGTCCATTAAAAATTTAGCGATCTTTCCCCCTCAACTTACATACAAAATTTATGTGGAGGAAGTAGCAACATTGAGATGAACTCAAAAAGATTATTTGTAGAGGCCTACGCAGATTTAATAATCTTTGACATTTTTTCCCAAATGCTCTTCCTACATAGAGACTACGTGAACGAAAACCTTCGAGAGTCAGCAAATAAGGAGGCTCTAGGAATAGCAACATTGATCTTAGTCTTAGCAGTGTCACCAGTAATCATTTGGTTGGTGAGAAATGCTGTTGCTACAATACAGGTATGATTTTCGAAAATTGGCAGAATTAGGGATCAATTACAAAAAATATTGTTTACATCAACCTATGATCCTGATATATTTTTCTTTGGAAATTAAATAAATTTTTATAAATGGGTAGTAAAAAATTCATCTAGCCTAATTTAGAATTTTAAACTAAAATTTAGCAATATAGTCTAATGAACCTTAAGTTCCCTCTACCCTTGAAGTTCAATTCCATAAGTCATAAAAACCACCTTTACAAATATTGATTTTATATCAGCAAGGATTAAACTGTTACAAACTAAACAGACGCACAGCCAATTACAAACAATATTGTGTACATCAATCTATGATCCTGAAATATTTTTCTTTGGGTATCGTATAAATTTTTATACATGAGTAGTAAAAACTCATTTAGCTGAATTTACAATTATAAACTAAAATTTAGCAATATAGTCTAACGAACCTTAAGTTCCATCTACCCTTGAAGTCCAATTCCATAAATCAGAAAAACCGCCATCACAAATATTCGATTTCATATCAGCAAGGATTACCCGGTTACAAACTAAATACACGCACAGTCAATTACAAAAAATATTGTTTACATCAACCTGTGATCCTGAAATAATTTTCTTTGGGTATTGTATAATCTTTTATAAATGGGTAGTAAGAACTCATTTAGCTGAATTTAGAATTAGAAACGAAAATTTAGCAATATAGTCTAATGAACCTCAAGTTCCATCTACCCTTGAGGTTCAATTCCATAAATCAGAAAAACCACCATCACAAATATTCGAGTTCATATCAGCAAGGATTAAACGGTTACAAACTGACGCACAGTCACAAATCATTGTATTGTGATAGAATCGAGAATGGAATGTAATCGAAAGTTCTGATTTGGAATTAGTTGGAAGAATAGTACTAAAATCATAATAACACGAATAATATTCAATGAAAACTGTGCAGTCTTCTCTAGGTCTAATGTTCTTGTTCAGTTGTACGCTGCTAACCTGGCGAAGAAAGCTAAGGAACTGAAGAGAGAGAAAAAGAAGAGCGATATGCTACTGTTTCAGATGCTGCCTCCAAGCGTAGCTATGCAGTTGAAGCAAACTAGACAGGTACTTTTCAATGTTTTCAAGGTTATTACATTATTGGAACGAAAACACCGTTTTTTCTGATTAAAGTCTAATTTATTACCTTCACACTGATTTATTAGAACACTTGCAACTACTTTATTACAAATTTATGACTATGTAGGCTAGTCTATGCCATGTTGACTCTGCGATGTCGATTCCAATGAATTCGAATAGACTAGAAGGAGCCAATCCTCTACGTTTACAAAGCATTGTTTGTCGCTAAAATTGCGTAGTTTTAGTGCATACGTTTGACTCATCTGTCATTCCCGGTGGATAGATCTACCTCCATTAGACTTGTGCCGCTCTTTGCAAATTATGTAAGAAGTATCATGTCTGGAAGACCACAATTGTCTGCAAACACTCGCCCTTTAAAAAAATAACACTAAATACAAGAATTTAATGACAGAACTGTTAAAAAATTGACCTATGTCAAATGCACTTTGATCCCCACTACAGACTACGAAAACAAGAAGACAAACAAATCCTTCACTGGCTCTTTCTGCCTAGTCTGAATCGTCGGTTGATTCTTCGTCCGCTGTCCACTACTCGACTCTCATTCCATTGTCGGCGCAGCATATTTATGTTCAAATTGGTCAATCCAGAGCCTTCCAGCGCTTCATCGAAGTGCTAGATGTGGATAGATGCTTCTCGATGTGGGCCGAACGCCCTCGATGTCGGTCGATCCCTCTCGATAATGCCGCAAACTCTAACGCGGTTGATGCACGGTGGCGTAACGCTGGTTACCTAGGCGTTGACATTGCATGAGCCTCTCACTCTTACTTTGAATGTTCTCCACTATTTTAGATAAAATTGAAACTAGTGCAGACTGCTTATAACCAAGAATCATACACCATTTCTTACTTACTCTCTTTCAAGAAATGGAAATTATCTCATCATATGAATAAATAAATAAAGGAAAACCTTCACATGTTAATAAAGCTCCGTCGTCTCAAACTTTCAAATAAAAACCTCTTCCCCTCTTGCATTACGGTATACTTCAAATCAAAATATTTTTAAATGTTTGATCATATGTTGTCATATGCTTTGTGTGGTTCTTATTGTGCTCAAACAGGACCAACATCGGTATCATGTAAAAAACCTATAAAACGCCAAACAAACCTATATGATGTCATCCTGCAAACTAGGTAGTTTTTAGGACGCAAAAAGTCATTCCACGTTTGCTCACTAGGATCGTTGTGAACGTCCATCTAAGGAGAAATCACTCAACTAAGCTAAACGCATTATTGGTTGCATATGTTTTGTGAGACCAAATGGTTCTTGTCTGTAGTTTTTATCTCTGAGAAGAAAGTTGGTTGAATAGCAAGTTCGCATCTGGATGATTATGTCTATTGGTCTGCATGTGTATAAAATCAGTAATATTTGCTGTGTGAGAAAATGATTACTGAATATGCTGCCAACGAAGTATATCAATTGGCTATGCCCGACGGGTTATTTTTATGTTGTGCTTTCTGAAGAGATAGGTTATGTTCAAAGTTATAAATTACGAAAAACTAAGGAGAATTGCGGGAAATCATCACCGCGTCCGCGTTGTTTGTAATTACTGTTAGCATGTATATGGCTTGTAATTCGACAGTGTACAGTGAATATAATTATTTCTTATCTCTCTCATTTTTTAAATTCAGCAAGTATATGTAATTCACAGAATGGATAAGAAAAGGTGAATGCGCAACTAGCTTTGAATCTCAATTAAGTGTATTTGAGACAAGAACCCAATGTAATTATCATCAACACATACAACTTACAGCTTAGACCGCCAGTAATGCCATCTCAGAAGCAGATTTTACATCAAATTAGAGCCAAAGATTGATAACAAGCCTCATGACGTTTAGGCAACACGTACAACTAAGTGCTAAGATAACATCTTGTAGAAAAAGCTACATAATGTCAAAAAAAAAGCATAATATCAAAAAAAATCGGTATAATGTCACTTTTCAAGTTACGTGATACCCGTGCAGAGGTCTCTTTTCTGCACATTCAACATGGACTTGCAAAAGTTACTCATTAGAAGTAGTCCGGATTAAAAAAGGTTGCCTTCAGCAAATAGCGTACTGAATATATTAGGAATTGGGACATGATATAATATATAGTAATGGAACCAGGGTAGCCCCTCGAGGTATACCTGATTTGAAAATTGAGAGCGAACACCCTTGTCACAATAGAAGACAGGGCCGGCACAAGGGCAGGGCAACTCGGGACGCAACGATCCAGGGGCGCCAAATCACTGAAATTATGGTCCACAAAAAATATTTTAATGCGCAATTTACATTAATTCTCATTATAAATTCACAGAAAATTTCGCAATAATTCAATGTTGCTTCGGTAGAACGGAATTTCTCAAAATAAAGATAAATTAGAAAATCGTCTAACCGGACTTGCAATGTTGGCAACTGAACACGAAATAAGCAAAAAATTGGACAAGAAATCAGTTATACGAAATTTTGCTGAAATGAAAGAAGTCAATTTAGTTTTCTCAGTTCCTTAATAATAATATTATACTTAGGTTACTGTTACTTTTCTAGCCTTGCTTAACCTTCAGAGAGATCTGTTTATTATGCGTTTTTTTTTTCACGAAAAAATCACATTATTCCTTATTCTCTGAATGTCAAACGCTGTTGAAATGTTTTGTTTAAGTTTTTGATAAATTTGGTTTTTGCTCATGAATGTGAAAATGCTGAAATTCTTATATTTATGTTGTTGTAGTTTTTGAGGAATTTTGTTTTTTATGAACGTGAATGTGAAAATGCTGAAATTTTTATATGTATGTTGATTTAGTTTTTGTGGAATTTTATTTTTTTATGAATCTTACAGCTGCTGAGTTCATAAATTTGGTTTTTTTATTATATTTTTGGTAGTTGCCATGGAGATAGGGATTAACATTTTATTATGTATTCCCTTCCAATAGGAAGTTCTTTATTCACAATTCACCTGACCCCATTGAAACTGAAACATTCATGATGAGGGGCGTCGAAATCTCTAGGGCCGGCTCTGTTGAAGAGCGGGGCGGTATCGCTGATTGAAAAGCGGAGAGAAGTCTAAAACATACTGGTGAATGTCGATTCGCTAAAGAGGGGGGTTGATCCGCATCCGCCCTTGGGGGGCTTAAATTTCCCAAAGGAATAGCATGCTGTATTGTATGTTAAGTACGAATTAGGCCGCGGGTCAGCAGCGGACGAAATTATGCATGCAAGTTGAATACAGTTCAAAAATTGAAGTTCTCAACAATAACTAGGTTTGTTAAAGATCTCATTATTTGCGTATTTTAATTTGCGGATATCGGACTGTACACAGCTTTTACAGGTAAAGTTGTTTTACTTTTTTTAGCATAACGGACATGGAACTTGTACTTAATTACGTTTTTATTTGGGTATATTAAGAGCGCGAAATGCTAGTTTGTTGCTCAAGAAACACGTAATTTAGGAGCGGCGTACGTAGACAACGCTGCATTGCTCAAAAGATTTTTTCTAAACGGAAAAGTAAAATTGATAGGAATTGATGCATACGGAATATATTTATATTATATATACAGGGTGACTTTGAAGTTGAGTCATTAATTTTCAGATAATGATTGTAGAAGGAAGATAAACCAAAATATGTGTGTAAAAATAAAAAAATAAATAAAAAAAAATGTTACCTTGTTTAATAAAGTATCGTCCCGACAAGTATTTCAGTGCGGACCTGTATTTGATCGTGCGGTCTTGGAGCAGCATGCTCTGACCTGTGAGGTCTTAAGTCACCTGACTCACGAGCCCTTTGCACTACATTAACAAAGGCACGAGGGGTTGGTTGCACTCGATTGGGAAACCGATTCGCATAAATCCGTGATGCACCCGGGAGCATTTTGTAAAGACTGCCCCCCCATAAATAAGAATCATGTCCACAAGTTCAGCATTTTACGTAAACATGTGCCATTTTTGATTTCGTTTGAGCCACGCAACAAACACTCCTATTCACTAACGCGTTATCGACTGACGAAAAACATCGTGATAAACGTTTCAAATTCTTTCGCTTTTTTGTTTCCGATGCGATGAACCGGTCAGGCGGATTCTATCCGTTGTCGCCAAACACGAACATATTATTATTGAGACAGGGCAGTACTCAAACTTCCAAAGGGCTATAACTTTGTTACTTTAATTTTACCAGAAAAATGGTAAAGGAAAAAAACATTTCTTTTGATCAGATCTACTCACTGTTAAAATAAATGACTCAACTTCGAAGTCACCCTGTATACAGGGTGTTCCTTAATGATATGCGAATATTTAAGGGTGTGAATCTACATGAAAAATTAATGTTAGTTTGCTCTATAAACTATAGTCCAAAATGTTTCCTTACAAAAACTCGGGGTGTTAAAGTTTTAGGAAAAAAATGGAAATTAGTTAATATTTTCGAAACCGCTTCTGATATTTCACTGATATTTAGTACGTAGTGAAAGTTAATAAAATTGCATATTTTTCAATGCAAAATAATTTTTAGCTTTAACAGTGGCGTGCGTACGGGTATTGACTTCGATATTTTTTAAGAAAAAAATGGTACGTCAATAGATTTTTGTCAAATAAAAATAATTTTTGAGTTCCCCGTTCAATTTAAAACAAATGATTTCTCTTGAATTGTATTCCTTCGATACGCCATTTTTTAGTAAAAAAATAAAAACCGTTCTACTGTCTAACTTGCAAAATTATTATTAATTTAATTGGAAAAATTAAACACATTAGGGGTAATGAACAACAACAACTGACAACATAAACATAACATTAAAATCAACGAAAATCACAAAAATTGTTGAAAATGGCCCCCTTCACTTAGTGCACTCCTTCTCATGGAATTGCGCACTCGCTGAAATATCCCTGGAGTGTTTTTTATTCTATCCCAAGCTGCAACTATTCCTCTACAGTGTTAATGGGACTTGTGTACTCTAGTGTCTTAAGATAGCCCCACAAAAAGAAATCTAAACTGTTGAGGTCTGGGGACCTTGGTTTCCATTCTTGGGGCCCACCGCGGCCAATCGAACGATTTGGATAAACAGTTTGTAAATAATTACGAACCGCTACACATCTTGTTTCTTATTACTAACGGAACAACATCAAGCAGCAAAGGCAACTGTTGTTGAAGAAAATTTAGGTAAGTCTGTCCGTCAAGTCGTCCCGGCAATAAAGGCCAATAAAGTGGTTGCCTATAATTCCTGCCCATACGTTAACCGAAAATTGGTGTTGGAAATGGGTTTCGGTTACGGCATAGCGATTTTCTTCTGCCCACAAATGATTATTGTAGAAATTCGAGAAAAATTAGCTTCGTCCGTGAACAGAATCATTCATTCAAATTGCGAATTTTGTATATTTTTTTTAAGATACCACTGACAAAAGGGCACACGCCTTGGAAAATCAATGGGAAGTAATGCCTGTACTCTTAAAATATGGTAAGGATATAACAAAAAATCCACTAGTGTCTAGCGATCTTCCTCGTACTCGTTTCAGGATATTCTTCGACTTCGTGCAGCTCTGCTTTCTCAATTTCAGGTGTTCTCACACTTAGAGGTCTACCTTCAGATGTTCGTTTTCGGACAGAACCAGTTGCAACAAGACGACGATGAATATTAGAAAAGGTCGACTATCTGGCAAAGCACGATCGGGATATCTCTGGTGATAAATCTGTCTGGCTTGCTCACCAGTACCGTCGGCAAGGCCATATACGTAATGCATTTCCGCATTTGAATAATTGACCATTATTAACAAGATTGTAAAAACTAAATAATGAAAAAGATGCCACAGCGAACAGATTTGAATAACAGAGACTTGTCAGATGTCAAAAGCCTGTGACAAATTCCAGAGCAACTAGATATTTATTGCTAAATTGCATTATTCAATTGTTACATTAATTTTCTCGGACAATAGAAAGGTTTTTATTTTTGAACGGGGAATTCAAAAATAATTTTTATTTAGCAAAAAAACAATGGCGTATCATTTTTTTCTTAAAAAATTTATGCTTTGAAAAATATGCAACTTTATTAACTTCCACTACGTACTAAATATCAGTGAAATATCTGAAGCAGTTCTGAAAATATTAATTTTTTTACTAAAACTTCAACACCCCGAGTTTTTGTGAGGAAACATTTTTGGACCATAGTTTATAAAACAAACTAACATTAATTTTTAATGTAGATTCAGACCCTTAAATATTCGCATATCATTAAGAAACACACTGGGTTAAGTTGAAAAACGGTTTTTAGCGACACTTCGCCTTTTTATACTTTGTATAAATAAAGCCGGATTATTATTATTATACCGAGTGACAAACAAACGTAAACATCTACGTATGTTTATGAGAATTCAAGAATTTTTTACATATCGATGTATCTTGCCATGAACAACAAGTGATAAAATGTTTAGGTTTTTCTGTTAAGTTTTTGTGGTGGCTGCGTGTATTGTTTGGTGATAAAGAAGCATTCAGTTTTCGTACATTTACGGTGTCATTTAAATGTTAAATTTCGAATAGCTTATTAAGAAGCCATTTTTGTGATTGCTGAAAATGCTTAGAGTGCGTAGAATTCTCCGGGTGTCCCAGCTAAGTGACTTTGAGAGGATTGTCGGGTTGCGTGAAGCCGGTCTATCGATAAGAGAAGTTTCTTGGAGGACCAACATATCCTTACGCAGTATACTCGATTGTGAACAAGCGTGGACTCAGAAAGGCCGAGGACAGCGAGCGAGGGGTTCTGGACGTCCCAGAGTGACCACAGAACGACAAGACCGCCGGTTAAGACTTCTAGCTCTGAGAAACAGATTCAGTAGTACTCGAGCCATCGCTAATCAGTGGTTTGAAGATCATAGAAGGATGTTTGGTATGCGTACGATATATCGCCACACCGTGAGAGTTGCGGTATGGGGTGCTATTGCTTATGGCAGCCGGTCACCACCAATTTTCATTAGAGGCAATATGACCGCCCGACGCTATATTCAGGAAGTAGTGGAGCCTCAACTTATTCCATACCTAAACACCATCCAAAACCCGATTTTTCAGCAAGACAATGCCAGACCGCATATTGCCAGAGCATCGTTAGCATTCATGGATCAACATTGCATCAACCGTTTACCTTGGCCACAACGATCGCCTGACCTATCTCCAATTGAACATATCTGGGACATGATAGGTCGCAGGCTCTTGAATTTGCAACACCCTCCACAGACTTTAGCAGCTCTTACTCACGCAGTTGCAGTAGCCTAACATGAGGATATCGACCACCTTATCAGCACGATGTCCATGCGTGTCAAAGAGTGCGTAAGAAATCGTTGATCCTCAACACATTTTTGAACCAGCTTATGCAGTCAGTTGACAAATCAAGCTGAAGATTTCATTATTTTACTAGTAAGGGACACTGAACATATGTGCCAAAAATTATTAAAATCGGATAAACATACTTAGGTAAAGTTTACCTTTTTTTGTCACTCAGTATCTTATGATGATGAATGGCATGCTGGTATGGTCGGTTTCCAGTTTTATTTGACCTGACGCAAAGAATAAAATATGCGCCATCCCCCCACATCAGTTGAGAATCTTGAGCTCCTCCTGACACTGCGCCCTGAGGCGGCTGCTCCACGTGCTTAGCGCCTGTAGCCGGCCCTGCATGCTAGCAATAAGGAATTGTTCCATCATCGACGTCAGTCCGACCACAACCAGTAGTGGGCATTTTTGTTAGTTGACCGCTTTGGAGCTGCTGCTACTTGGTATTATTTAGTCATGGAGTACTTGATTATTGAATAGGCGTTGTTATATTCCAGGTTCCAGCAGAATATTATGCTTCTGTCACAGTTTACTTCAGTGATATCGTAGGGTTCACTGAAATAGCCGCAGTAAGCACACCTTTGGAGGTAAGCTATCAGCTATAAACAGAGGCGGGACTAAAATGACGCACGGAACGTTATGCCCCGTAACGCGATTCCTGGGACCCCAGAGTAAGAGAACCACCGCCCGCCTGCCGCGCTCCTTTGCAGTTTCCACCACCAGCTAAATTCGCTGACACACTCTTCTCGGCTGTCAAGGAGCCTCGGGTGTTGCGACGGGTCCTGAAGAGCTTAGATCCGCTACAGGCTATACAATAATTTCACTCCCTATACCGGGCGATTCAAATTCGACCCTCACCATTGGGATCTCAGAAACTGTAAGAGATACGAAGTCGCTTAAGTGGGGGCAAAGTTGCGTAATTAAGTAATTAACAAAATGCCGTCTTAAAAAGTTTTGAACTTCAAAGTACTTCCGGAGAGAGATGAAAAAGCCATTTTTTCCAAAATCGTTTTAATTTTTTACTAACTTTATTTGTGGTAGGGTTTCAAAATAAATTGCACACATTGCCACTTTTTCTCCTCTACAAGATGGCATAATTAGAATTTCAATATGACGTTGTTTCCCTTGTCCTCCAGCATCAACTTTATTTTTTCTCATGGACGCCATATTTGCACAGATGAATAGAGTATTTAATTCTGATTCCAAAAATGTCATACATTGATATTACCAAACCTTAGTTATTTCAAAAAAAAAAACGGAACTTAGGCGTTGACATTATCAGATTATCAGTGTCATGGTTTCGCATACCAGATTTATAGCAAAATAATTTTTATTTTTTTCTGTTATTAGTTTATTAAGTTATTTGAGATAGGATTTAAAAATTAACTTTGTTAGTTACTTAAATACGTAACTTTGCCCTTATTTAAGTGACTTCGTATCCCTTACCGTTTCTGAGATCCTAATAATGAGGGTCGAATTTGAAACACCCGGTATATTTCACACATTTTTAGGTCGTCACATTCCTCAACAAAATCTACAAACAATTTGATGCAAGAATCGAATGTTACGATGTTTACAAAGTTGAAACTATTGGCGATTCTTATATGGTGGCTTCTGGACTTCCAGTGAAAAATGGTAAATCTCCATATCTACTAATGTATTTACATTTATAAATTTCATAAATTTATATGAATTTGGATTCTCAAATTAGCAATCAATAGAAAGTAGTAAACATTAGTTATCTATCGGCAAAGTGTGGTTTGGTACAGGTCGTTAGCTTTCCAGGTAAGGTAGAAGGAAATACCGGGCCGCTTGAAAAGTGGCTTCACTTTTTTGGCATCTTGGCACCTTGTACAAATACATCATCATTGGTTAAAATATTCTTACATGCCAAACCATACGCTGATTTTCGACATTCCATTAAAATTTTGTATCGGAACAGCCATGTTGACAACTAGGATGATCTCAGTAATTCCCTTAGAAGTAATGAAAAGGGACTCCATTTTTCTTTTAAAGAAAACATGATATCGACTTTACAAGGAAAGCTCACCCCTCAGCCTCACTCGTAATTATTTCTTTTTGTATCCTCAGAATTTCTCAACAACGGATAACTAATCCTACAACATGCGGCAATAGTGCAATACGTTTGACAGAAAGAGATAGAAGTACCTCGTTGCCTAGCAACCGGAGTACGAGGTCACGGATGCCATCGGCGCACTCTTTCTAACTTACATAACGCACGCTTCTCGGGCATCTCTCTCGTACACATTACGACGTCAGCCAAATTTGAACCATACCGCATAGAATGTTAATCAATGATAATATCCAACGAAACTCAATAAATTTGATTTCTTAGGTAATAAGCACGTTTCGGAGATAGCCAGCATGGCTCTGGACCTACTGGCAGGCTCCAGGCAATTCAAGATTCCTCATCGGAAATCCGAGTTACTTCAAATCAGATGTGGAGCGCACACGGGACCAGTTGTAGCAGGTATTGTAGGGTCTAAAATGCCAAGATATTGTCTTTTCGGAGACACTGTTAATACTGCTTCTAGGATGGAGTCTACTGGCGAAGGTTGGTATCAATGGGCAAAAACGTGTACAATATGTATAAGCCTTTCAAATATTGCTGGCATTGTGATAAGTAGGTGTCAGTTTGGCACAGTCATTAGGTTGAAATTTTGCAATACTAAGTTATGAACATACATAAATGTCTCTGCCAAGCATGAAAAGAGTACGTGTCCGAGCCATATCCTTTTTTTATGCCTGCCTCAGCTTTAATGAATGTCGATTTATGCAATCACTTTTTGTAAAGGACGTAACTTAAAAAAAATGTTTCACTTTTGTTTCAGCATCAAAAATACACATCAGTTTAGAAATGAAAAAGGCTTTAGACGCTATAGGAGGATACAGGACAGAGCACAGAGGACTTGTCGAAGTAAAGGTATCAAAATTATCAGCTGAACAATTATTTTTGTATCCAGGTCATTTCTTGATAAATGGCTAGTGAAACAACTATAATAGAAAGCGGACATGGTTCTACTACTATTTCAACAAACAGAGGAGAGCCGCTCTCTGAAAGAGAAATAGTGCAAAAAACTCGCCGTCATATACTAAGTGACATATAAATCCGAACACCGAGTCTAAATGGTCTTATTTTGATAAAATTTTGTATAAGTACTTAATGAAGCATAATAAGTAAATGATAAAAATTTCAAAATGATTGCACTGCTTTAAAGCCCTTTGACCTTTAATAATGTGTGGATGCACCGTGATGTGCTACGCATTCTCCAACGCGCCTAGGCATGCTTCTGATCAGGTGGTCAATGTCCTCCTGTGGTATCTCATTCCAGGCAACCACCAACTCCTCTCGAAGTGCTTCTAGAGTCTGAGAAGGACGTTGCAAATTGAGCAATCTCCTACCCATCATATCCCACACGTGCTCAATTGGGGATAAGTCGGGAGATCTTGGTGGCCATGGTAACAATGTGACATCATTATGTTGAAAGAAGTCTATTGTGACTCTTGCAACATGTGATCGGGCATTATCTTGTTGGAAAGTTGGATCTGCCAGGGTGTCAAGATAGGGTAAAAGATGGGGTTCTAGAACTTCGTGGATATAACGCTGCGCGTTCATGTTACCTCTGATGAAGATTAAAGGTGACCTGGAACCATAAGCTATAGCACCCCAAACCATAACTCCAACAGTGTGATGAACATGTCTTTCAACAAAAAACTGCGGATTCCTCCTTTCACCACGTCGCCTTCTAACCCTGGCGCGACCATCGTGCATGCCTAAATAAAATCGAGACTCGTCACTAAAGACAATACTGTTCCATTCCTGATCCCAGAGTGACCGTTGTCTGCACCACTCAAGGCGATTACGTCGGTGTTCTCGAGTTGAAGGGATGACCCAGTGTGGCCGGTATGAAAACAAGCCAAGACTTCTCATTCATCGGTAAACACTTCGCATGCCAATAGGTCTTCCGAGTTCTGCAAACCATTCATTTGCAATGGACCTGGTAGTGGAGAAACGGTCCCTTAAGGCCAATAATCTTAGGCGGCGATCTTCACGGTCTGTTGTTCTACGGCGGCGTCCAGTGCCCCTTGCTCTTTGCGTAAGGCCTTCTCGAAGCCATGCCTGACAACACCTAACCACAGTGTCTACACTTCTTTGCACTCTAACTGCAATTGCCCGAAAATAAAGTCCAGCTTACCGAAGTCCCACTATACGGCCCCTATCAAACTCACTAAGTTGACGAAATCGTACAGGTCTCCGTACTCTAGGCATCGTAACCGATCGTAAAGGATGTCAAGAACCAAAATCCGCCAACGTTGATTCTTTACTGCGGCTGAAATATTCATTTTTAGAGCGTTAGTGAATTAAAAAAAAGCAGTATAAAAACCGGAATGTCCAACTGATAAGACTGAAAATTTTTTCACTTGTTATTTACAGTAAGATAAATACATTCTCCAACTGTTATTAAAATAAAACCATTTAAACTAGGTGTTCGGATTTATATGTCACTTAGTATACATCGCGTCTCGCCTTCAAGGACGAAGTCAACTTTGCGATAAAATATTTAAAGTTATGAAAACCTATTTTATCGGTAATGGATGCATTTACTGAATTATTTAATGAATGACAAAGCAGACGTTGAAAAGGCATTAGAGCAGTTTCTACTAGCTGTGCAGTCAGAGGAATTAATATAAATTTGAATTTAATCGTAGAGAAAATCTGACCACTAATGTCTTATGTTCTGATCGTTCCACTTGAAAACAATTTAACCTCAAGACAATATTTTTAGCAAACTATTTTCTTTTCATATTCAGATGTTCACCTTTGGAGGATGGGATAGGTACATCGTTTGGTTTTACATTTATGTTTTCAGAAATTGCGAACACACAGTAGAGATAAACATGTGTGACTCTCTGTTGAAGTTTATCATTTCTCGAGTTTATACATCGCACATATGTACATTATGTTTAATAATATACCACTGCTCAATGAAGACGCTGGCTAGCAGGGTTATTACGTAAAATACCTATAAAATGTAAAAAAAAACGTTGTATTGTCAACTTGTTGACTAAGTGGAGTGGAGTACAGGTAGTTCATCCCGCGCTGGCTACAAGTGAGCATAGAGTGAACGACGTTATAGTTGTAAGTTGACGTCTTGTTGGAAAACCTACATAATGTCATAAAAAATTTACATATCAAAAAAAAACAGACATAATGTCCATAAAAAACGATATTACGTCACTTTGCAAGTTACGTAATACCCCTGCAGGTAAAGAGTATCGACGGGTAAAGGTCCGATCCCTGTGTTACAACTCAGACGACTGTAGCCGCGGTATCCCCAACGTACGTTTCCAGTTGCTCACTTCCTATGGGGCGACCCCTTGTTAAATTTTATATTGGGTACTTCAGTTTTGGCGGCGTTTCTTTCAGTTGAAGAAAAGGAAGAAGAGTCCGTATGACATATCTAGCTTGAAAGACCTAAAACGTTAATCCACTGTATATGGGAAGACGCGAGGTGTGTCAGAACATTTTAATTGAAAGACATCTTTTACAGGATGAATATTTAGAACGTTTTTCTGTATGAATATTGCCCAGTTCAATAATATTTTTTATTATTCATTAAAGTACATTTATTACGACAGTTTTGTAATAAAGTGAGGTGCTGGGCTGACGCTCAGGGCCGTATCGTCAGTCGTTCCTACAATAATTTGTAGGACGCCTTTAGGGCCACCTTGATTTTTATAGTTTTTCCTGTCCTTCAGAAAAGCGCTCTATTTGAAGTTATGTTGCAAATATCTATTTGCATCCAATTGTCAATGCTTTTGATTTTTTTCCATTTGTTTTCTCAGCCTCAAATTTCCTACAGTTCAAAAAGAAAAACATAATTAGGAGAGCGCTAACACGGAACAGTAGAAATCTAGAAACACTCCAGCCTTTCTGAAGGAGAGAAGAAAAGACTATTAAAATCTAGGAGGCCATAAAGGCGGCCTACAACTATTGGGGGGGTGCTTGTGATTGCGATTCATAATTAAAGAACGGAGGTGACTGCCCTTATGAAAATTGAAGAGCGGGGCGCGATCATCTTAAAATTCAGGTCTCGTAAGGTAATTTTTACACCAAGATATAGCCAATAGCAAAGGAATCATGTACCTTTACTCGACCTCCCCTGCAGAACTGAGTCAGTGTTAATTTGCACTGCCTATGATGCCTAGCCGCCGTGCAACATCCCAATTGCAATGCTGTATTCGCTGGTTATAATTGTGATGGAAGATACCTAATAAGCTAACAACAAAACTTGTTCTATGTTGCACTGAAGGTCTCACCTAGTAACGGCCGAGCTTTGCGTAAAAGTTGCTTTCCACCTCGAGATACTATTGAAAACTACGTCTACTTAGGGTATAACATATTTTAATATCTATACCAAGTTTGCACCTACCAAAATTGACAACAAAGTTGTTGATCAAAACGAAATCAAAGTCTTTACAACACAGTAAACAAAATTATTCACTTTCAACAAATAAAAGTACTCATAACCGGTAGAATTAAGCAGAAATCACTTCCAAATACCTTTTCAAAGCGAAGCTAAAAAGTAAGGTTCAAGTATCAATGTACAAGAAACAAGTTTTGATCTCGGTCGCGCGGCGCTGCCATCTTAATTCCCATTCCCCTACTGAGCGCAGCCGTTGTATTCAGTATATAACTTCCTAACGTTGAAGTGATTGTACACGCGTTAAGGAATACCTCAGTACCCGTTTACTGGGTGGCGGTACAGGCCCACCAACGGGCCACGGTCTATTTAACATCATCATGCAAAGAGAAGGTGATAGACAAGGACCAGTCGATCGAGGCGATACCACCCGCTAGCTTTTCCCAAGGCATCTTATAAATGTCCGTATGTTTCCACACTTAAGCTACGCAGTCGGTAGTCTTCCCCAACAAAGAAATTAATGATGATGGATTCCTTGAGTACTGAGAATTCAGGACGTAAACTCACTCCAGTCTCGGAATGTCCGTGTGGAGGGCGGACTCGAGGGAACAAAATAGATGATAAAATTTGTTCCACGAACATCTGCATCCATACCCGATCATCACTACCTGCAATGCAATCGTCCCGCCATGCTTTTCTTGGCGGAGAGAACAATCTCAAAGTCTACACCGATTAATCATCTTAGCTTCCCAAATTACGAGGTGCACTCCAATCTGAGAAAGAACGAGGAAGTTGTGGCGTTTTTCCGCAGTGGTCTTTCCTGCTCCAGAGACGTTTCTTTGGAATCAGACCGGAAGCACATTATGTGGCTTCGCCTTTTTCGCTCTCCCTCGGACTGTAACTGGGATGACCTACTTGAATACCTCGCTGTCAAGATCGACTTCCTGAACATCTATCACCCCGCTTTAGAGGTAGTTCTCAACGCTGATTCAACGCTCATAATGAATTTTGGTTTGGCTCAAACAAGACCGATGCAGCAGCTCGTGCAGTTGAAGCATTCGCTTTTACTCAAGGGCTAACCCAGCTGGTGATGACTCCTACTTTTTCCCCGCGTCTCGGCACATGCCAGTAGCCTGTTGGATCTCTTTCTGACCACGCATCCTGTCCCTTACAGCATGTTGTCCTTTCTCCACTGGGTAACTCAGACCACGGTGCCGTGGAGTTTCGACCTCCCATCCTAACCATGTCGAACTTTGTACATCCAGGACTGACCGATATGACCGCTCCTTTGTCCCGAGGGTGTCGAGATTGAGAAAAATCTACAAGAGGAAGCTTTTCCCATTTCTACTAACCTTTTAGGCAGTTCAAAAATCGGATTAACAAGAAGCCTTGGGGTTTAGGCTTCTGCCTGCGCGGCTGCTACGGTATAATAAAAAACTCCCCGTATCCAATTTACGGCTCTCAGGATTGTTACGAGAGGTTTGGGCATGAGGAAGGTGTCCATGAAATTGATTTTCCGAACAGTGCTCACTCTGTTCACTGAAGGACAAAAATAATGAGTAAACGTTTCCATGAGTGTACAACCCATAGAGTCAGGAACAGTCTTGCTCAATAGAAAGCAAAATTTGATTGCGTGAGGCTGTTTCAACTCCCACCTTCGGCGTTTCCACAAGTGTCACGAGTTGCAAACATCTTTTACGCGCAGGTACCGTCACCATGTTTAGACCTTCAATGCAAGATTATATTAACCGCACAATTCTGCCAGACACCACATTGCAAGTGACACACCCTGTACTCTGCAGTCTGCATACAGATTTTATAAAAATAAATGATTTTTTTCTAGGGTAAAGGGCTAATGGATACCTACTGGCTTACGTGCAAGGAAGGAAACACGAACAAATCTGTTGAAATGGAAACATCCCCGAATTTCACGGTATATCCTAATCTTTCTTGCTCGCTACACCGCTTTAACGAAAAATCAAAATATTTTGTTAATGGCTTCCAATTATAATGAATCAAAAGATTCTAGCTGGTATGTGTAACATACAAATACTTACAGCCAGGTCACACGAGCTTTAAATTCAGACGCAGGATAAAATAGCAGAAATATAACGCAAGTCGATTATTAACATAAGATGCATCATAGTAATCTTGATGTGATACGCGTTTCACACGTGTGACCACCTTGCATTGGCTGCGACAAAACGTGCGTGGATCCTGTGTCATAGTGTCGAGACACACGTCCGTTAAATTAAAGCGTGGCATAAAAACGCAGATGGAGCAATGCACGTCAATTGTGTGACTGATGAAGTAGATATTGCGTTCCAAAAACGCTTAACGCATTCCAAGAGCTGAGCAATCATGATAACTCTGACAATCAACACCAATGCAAATATACTTAGTGACAAAAAAAGGTAAACACCTACGTATGTTTATCCGATTTTAATAATTTTTGGCATATACACAATCTCGTATTTGCTTATCAAGTTGAAGGTGCTAGTTGTTTTTGAGAATGTGGATACCTACTCTGTTTCATCTACGATAAAATGATTTTAAAACGCGCGTCTCTTCCGACGCCACTGTGAGAAATTATTGTAATCGCGAAAATTTTCGAAAGTGAGAAATTGTTTTTTGGGTATTATGTACATTTCGGTCGGCCTGTCTGCCTGCTGACCCCGCTATAACTTGGGAAGTACCGCTCGGATTTTGATGAAATTTTCACACAGGGTGAACATCGGTTTAGTAGTGGCGGGCCTACGGATAAAAGCACGAACAATATAGAAACCTCTCTATTTTGACATTTCAGAGGCTCCCGATTATTTCCAGAAAAAAATTTACAGTGATTAAAAAAATGATGTTGGGGGTTGTAGGGGCGGGGGAAAGCATATGACAATTTTGTGGTACTAGCAATTTGGGTATACGTTTCCAGCCCAGGTAAATCTACGCACCTGTAGACATATTTCATAAATCAAAAATTCCTCGTATGTTTTTCCTTAAAAGTTGAATTATACATATGCAAGCATCTTCGATGTACGCATGCCGGAGAACTCAACGAGCGCACGCCTCTCTGCTTTGGATAGGTAGGGATGGCTGCGCCATTATGCATGATTTCGCGTATAACCCAGTGGATTGCGACGTTGCTGGATGGTCGGTATTGTCGATCAGGTGGTAGGATAGATCGCTTCTTTGGTTAGACTCCAAACTCATTGTACAAATATGATAGATTTAAGATTCAATCCCGTTCCTACACATTTTTGTGGTCAATGTTTTTCTAAAAGGAGCTAACTTGTGCCAATTATGAATTGATGACAGCATTGCTTAGGAAGTGCAGGGTCAACCTACTTGACGCCATTTTTTATGCTACGCATTACTTTGACGCCCGTGTAATCCCATCTTCATTAGTGCCGGGACACACGAGCGTTGATATAACGCACGTTCGCAAGGTGGAAGAATACACATAATCGACGACGCACGGTGCTTTAACGGGTATTTAGTTGTATGACGAATCGGCTGTATATAATGCTACAATGCTCGTATGTCCCGGCATTTAATTGTACATTCGAATATTATCTTTGTATACTAAATAGAAAGTTGTGTAGAACATACCTACCTATATCCCGTCAATGTTTCAACTTGATCTGTAGACTAATATACTCTGCATGTGCGCCCGCAAGAATGTTTATCAGGGGAGTCCAAACATCGACAAGAGATAACTTTTTTTGAAACTATACCTGCTTTTTGAAGAGCGGGAGGTAGCACATTTTCCAAGGGGGAAGGGGCAAAAAAATTGTACACAAAATCATGCTAAATACTTAAATTTTGAGGTTCAACCAGATTCCCAACCCCCTCTTGTGGCTTCCCATGATACTCTGTGAGTCTGCAGAGAAAAGAGATACGTCTGATGAAATATTGGTGCTTTCTAATGAGTAAACATATTACAACATAAATTATATGTTGCTGTAACCTTATCATGCTTGACTTATCTGTCAAAATAATATGGCAATATTTTGTTCATAACTAACATCATCTGGATCTTTTACAGGAGGATGAAGACAATGAACCTGTTTTCATCAAGAGACTGAGAAATGATAACTACTTTTGATGGATATAAGTTTAGTATGAATAAGATGCAAGTACATAAAGTAATTTTAGATGTTTGGTATTTTAGATATAATTCTATGTAATAAGTAACTAAATGAATGATTGTACATAGTTCTATGTCTTGTGAATGGAAATGCATAAAAGAATCTTTAATGTTATGTATTTAGAGATCATAGAAATTGAATAAAAAAGACAACTGTGTATAAACTATATGAATAATTATTTATTGTCCAATAAAGTTTGTTTAAAGAATTTGAATACGTTAATACATTGAGCCTCACATATACTAACAGCTTGATTAAACTGCTCTTTGGAAAAACAACCTTCTGTGTGACATGCTAGTATTCTACCTTCTGTACTTTCAAATACTATGACAAATAGAGCTTTGATATCCTTGTCAATTATAGGTGGAGTAAGAACTAATTCTTCGTCTTTTGTGAGAAATGCTGTTACAGCACCAAACATGAATTTCATATCAATTCCTGAACTGAGACAAGCCATACAAGCAGCATTCACAGCACATGATATTAACTGAAAACGGAAGAAAGAGTATTAATAAAGTTGCATTTTTCAAATATTTTTTGATCTGCACTCTACCTGTTTATCATTTTGCATTTCCTGTAACATTATTAATACTGCTGAGCGAGGAAATAAGGCTGCCACTAAAGAAGTTTCACAGGTATTCCTTATGAAAGATTCATATAATCTATCTTCAACACCTAGAAAATTGCTATTATAGTTAAGGCCATAACTATTAAGCTATAGCTGAAAGGGCCCAATGGCAGAGTAACAATGAATACTTTGTTGCTGATAGCAATCTGTTAAAATAACTTCAAAAACAAAACTTTCTCTGCTCTATACTTGAATCCATTTCAAGTGAGACCAGACACAACAACCAGCACGCGTCGCTGGCATGATGGTCGTAGACACAAGAACCGAGCAGGGTCGGACTCAAAACTATGGAAATATTAAGGTGATATTTCAGAACTAAATATTTGAAAAAGAGACATCAGTAAATAATAACACAACACTACTGTCACTAAGTCAATAGAGGTGATTGAAAGTTAAGTGGGGCACAAAAAGTAATTATACATATGTGTTTGACAACATCAATATTTTTCACTTTCACTAGAAGAGCTGTCATCATAGATGTTGATAATTAGCGGTTCAACATGCCTTTCAATTATGTTGTCTAGCTCCCACATTGCAACCTTCACTTTCTCCTGAACATGCTTCACACATTTTAACCATTTTTCTGGTGTGATTATCTGCAACGCAAGGTTGAACAGCTCTTTCATGTCGGAAAACTTGAATGTTGTGTTGTGTTCAGCAACAAAATTCTTTATATCTGCCCATATGAGCTCAATGGGGTTGAGCTCACAGTGGTAAGGAGGCAAACGAAGTACCATTTTATTGTGCGCTTTTGCCATCTCGTCTACTATATATTTATCATATTTTGCTCTGTGTTGTTTCACAAGATCTAGAAGTTGTAATTTCAACATAAACGTATCAAAAGGTATATTTTTTGCACGTAGCCAGCCCTGTATCTCTGATTTCTTAAAAGATGAATTTGGAATTTTTTCTAATTACCGAGAATGATACGGAGCATTATCCAGGACCACCACAGAATTGTCTTTAAGACGTGGTAAAATGCCTAAAACCAGTTTTCGAATGCTTCACCATTCATCTTTTCGTGGTAGTCAGTGGTTTTTTTTTATTCAAAACACCATAGTCCTTCCTTCACGAAGCCATCTACACTCCCGATGTGGCAAATAATGAGCCTTTTTCCTTTGGCTATAAAGATAAAACTTGTTAAATACGGATGTACATTATATGTCTTTCACAAGAGTACTGAGGCCATGGAGATAGGGACACATTTCTGTATTTTATATACGATGCTATATTGTTTCTCATGATAGCGGGATGCATGCGGTGAGATATATCGAACACTTCAACCAATGCATCATTTAATCTGTTGATGAATCTGGTTAGCTTAAAAAACAAAAAGAAACAGGCAACATCAATTAAACTAAAAAATTATCAAGTGTGACAAACTTATCGAAACATTTACAAATCAACGCAATGTCTGACATTGTTAATTAACGTGTTACATTCCGTGACGGACGAGGTATGTTGTCTCTGCAACGCTCGCATTGCTGTAAAAAATCTTGTCATCGATACCATAAGAATTCCAACGTAGAATACATTGATTTCCAGAGTGAACATCCCCTCGTTTTTTCTAGATATCTGATAACGTGTAATGCCTCATTTAAATCACTTTGGCTATGAAAAATTATCTAATAACTATTGTTGGATTTTCTAAAATGGAATATCTGCATTACCTGTAGGGTTTTTAAGCCCAGTTGAAAGCCCATCTAAAAACGCTCTTCTTGCTGACGTTACTGTTTGGTCCACCCAAACTTTTGATTTTGTATGGCCAGCATTTATCCACGTCTCGTCCAGGAAGTAAATTCTACGGTTTTGGCTCCTGTATGTTTTTATTTTTGTCAAATACTCTCTCCTCCATAGTATAATTTCATCTCTATCCATCAATGAACTGTTTCGGCCTCTCTTCTGCCAATTGAAGTTGAGTTCCTTTAATAGCCTGTAGAACGTCGTTTTACTAAAATTCGGTAAATCTGAGTCTTCATTCACTACTTTCAAAATCTTATCAATTGTAGGAATTTCATTCTGGAAAAAGAATTCATGAACCTTCCTTCTGATCGCATGTCTGTCAGCATCATCTATTTCTTTAATTTGGCTTTTATGGTTCTGATTCGTTTTAGGTTCAGCAAATGCATTCCGTAATTTATATCCCTTGAGTACTCTAAATACTGATGCACGAGAAACTCCAACTTTATTCGCCACCCTCTGCACAACATCGTTGACGCTGAGCTCAGGTTTTTCCTCCATTTCACATTTGTAAACATTTAAAATAATTTCTTTCACTTCGATGCTCAAATGGTTTTCCTGGGTGGACTCAATGTACTTCTCCCTTCATCAGCTGTGTCGGTAGAAGACATGGTAAAAAAACACTAGATATAACAGAACTTATAACAGCGATGCACTCGACACCACACCATGGCCTGATTACAACTCTGGTTTTTGTAGACATCAACGCGGCGCAACGGCGGGTTTTGTATTGCTACAGTCTAGCTAGGTCTTAAAAAATGTTCGAAACTGCATGTTTTCCAAATTCATGGAGTTTTATATTGGAGCCACTTCAGGACATTGTATTTAACAAAAGCATCAATATGAGGGGCGGAAAGTTTAAAAAAAGAAAAATAAAAGCTACGAAATGAAACTATTAGTTGAAAAAGCAAGCGCTTCAAACTACAACTTCAAACCGTAAAATGCCTGAACTATAATGAGACCCTCTGCGGGAACATCGATCACGCGCTGATCACGCTTCGAGTTTGCGATGTTGTGGTCTCACTTGGGCTGAATTTTAGTATAGGACCCTTAAAGCGATATTCTAGAGCCTATTTGGAGCAAGAGCATGATACATGCTCTAAGCTGCCCCAGAATTATAGTTACTTGGAAACTGAAACTACAGATTGTTTCAGATGCTTTATTTTCTTACCAGGTAAGCCGCTTTTTGGTCTATAATGACAGTCCACTGTAGCTTTGTCTATGTGTGCCTTTTGAATTTTCACTTCCACTGGTCCATACAGTCCAGCAATAACAGTGGTTTTGCCTGCAAGTGAAACATGGTTAATCAGCGATCAGCTAAAAACACTTCACAACACCTTCACAAAATAGTACAGAACCATCTGGTCTGCTGAGTATATCTAAATTACAACGATATTTAGTCGCTTCCATAATTGATAAAGTACTTTCCGTTTGTTTCTTGTTTTTTTCGATGAAGGACAAAACGGACAAAATATGAGGTTATGTTTATGACTTTGGTTTTGGTGCTTTCCTTTGACTCTTTGACATCTTCTGAGGTGTACAGCTGATCAGCAAGTGACATTTTTATGCTAGTCTGCGACGTTGGTAATAATGAATCGAGTGTAAATCTAGTAAAACTTGTTTGTAGCGTTTTGTTTTTGTATGCAAATGAAGTTTTCTAAATAAAATAGTTGTTAGCAAGTACAAAATGAAACTGTAGTGCACAAAAGAAAAAAGCAAAACAAAATACGACTCTGACTACCTGACGTTGACGGATCCATCAGAATTATGTGTCCTGTGCCGATATGGGGATTTTTTTTTAAGATATTACTAGATCATCAGCTTTCAGTTGCCGGTCTCATTCAACTGATGGAACAGGCGTAACGCGAATTCATTGCGGCTAGAATGAGAAACGAGAAGGATAGCGCTAGTCAGGGCAAAAGATCGTGGTCCATTGTGGTATTTCCAATTCCATATATGTTCTAAGGATTTTTGGTGAATGTTTGTTTTTAGTGACGTTAAAGATTAATAGTGATAGTTTGCGACAATTATTATAAACATTTTTATGCTGGACAGCCTTCAAGAGCTGTTGTTTTATGTGATATTTGTTTAAAAATGGTTGAATTTTGCAGTGCCGTGAATTGTTGCAATAGACGCAGAAAAGATGTGAAAATGAAGTTTCACAGGTTGGTTTTAATCATCTCATTCATTTTTGTGTGAGAATTACCTGTTAATCGGTAATTCGAGAAAATATCTGGATTTTTAGGATACCTACAGATCCTAACAGGAGGAAGTTGTGGTTACATGCTATAAGAAGAGAAAACTTTACTCCCAGTACAACAACGGTAATTTGTGAAAAGCGTTTCACTCCAGAGGATTATGAAGTTAGTGTTCATGGAAATAAGGTACTAAAAAAGGTGGCAGTTCCATCTGTGTTTGATTTTCCAGCCCATCTCAAGAAAGAACCTAGCCATCGAAGGGTTTTAAAAAGAAAACATAATACATAATTTCTAGAATGAACTATATGGTATAACCTATATTGTATTATAATGAAAAACTGTGCATCTACAGTATTGTTAATGCCATTGTGCACAAATATTTTGTATACATATATAAGGGTTTTTTCTTTATACACTTTAATCTCTACAAAACTGGACATGTTCCCACTACATTTAGTGTTGACAACTACAGTACTATAAAAATAAATTTAAATGTGCATAAATACTATTTGGAACATTATAAAGATATATAGAAAACAACATGTATTTATTGTGATATTTCTTAGATCTCTTATTTTTTTATATGTAAGATATAGCATATTAGAGCAGTTAAATTAATTATAAGCAGTCATGTAATCTCTTTGCTACCTGAATTATTAATTACTTATGTTAAATACTAATTTGTATATCTTCAAATGTGTAAAGGAGAATTTATTGTCAAGTTTCATACATATGAATATATAAATAAATAAACTTGTTTTTTTAATTATAATTACGTTTCCAGGATTTTATCTCGTTCCAGTTGCCTGAATTACTTTTAAATCTTCTCTAAGAATCCTCGGTTTCCTATGCAATTCATTCAAGTCCGCGCGCTTTTTGCCCTAACTAGCTCCATCTCTCTCTGTCGTATGTTGGCCGCATTATCGTTTCATTGTACAAATGGGACAGGGCGATTCCATCAGTGTTGACAGTTCATTGCTCATTCGTCAGAACCTAACCTCAGAAACTCCTTTCACCTGTCAAAAAGCAAAACCATAAACAGCACATGACAAAAAAAAACACAAAATGAATAAACAATGGGCACCACAAAAAATGGTCATTCTTAGAAATAACCACTGAGTGGCTGCTTTATACAAAAAATGTCGTTGAAAGGTGGTGAAGTGGATCCAATAAAAAATGAACGAGCTGGTAATGTAAGGGAGGTTGGCTCGCAAGCTATTTGGAGTTTATCATCTTGTAAACCGGGTAAGGCATCGGAATGATAACAGTGTCTTTTTGGGGAACACTGAGATATTGAGAGTTATAAACCTCTTGTACCCTCCCCACATAATCTAATCCCTAATGTTTGTAGTTTTTAAAATCCCGACTCTAGAAGGGTATCCTAAAATGATATGGTAATCTCTTGGATGCATTTGATAAACAAAGTAATGCCCCAAAAACCTGTAAAATATGACCTATATGGTACCCTCTACAAAGATACAGACAATGACAATGTTACAACTGTACTAATTCTAACCTGTTTTCCACAGCACCTCTTTTTCTGTAAGGAAGCCTTGTAAGATATTTTTCAAAGGAACTTCTGGCAGGCTTTTATGTTTTACATGTATTCAAGGGACTGTCATTTTATTTGGGGATGCATTGTATAGCCTACACCCCATACTATAAAACCTTTACTTACATTTTGGTCTTATGGCTGCTAAAGTTAAATGTTTTAAAAATATTTTACTTAGCAGCCAACTGTAAGTCTAGAATTTTTATTTAAAAGTAGCTGTTTTCATTTTAGGATTTGGTGTTGATCAACTTCGTGATGATAGAGCAGACACATATTGGCAGTCTGATGGACAGTTACCTCACCTTGTTAACATACAATTCCAAAAGAAAACAACAATAAGTGACATATACATATATACAGATTACAAATTAGATGAAAGCTATACTCCCAGCAGGATATCAATAAGAGTGGGAACACATTTCAATGATTTGCAAGAAATTGAAGTTGTCATGTTAACAGAACCTTCAGGTAATAATGTGAACGAAGGAAACTCTAAAAACTAGTTCCACAATCATACCTACTGATTGTTGATTATTGATTATAATAGCTCTGAAAAACTAATTAATGCACTAGTGCAAGTTGTCATGAAAAAAAAAATGTGCTGGATTTCAGTGAGGAGCATTCACCAATCATAGCAGTCTCCTTTCTTTCTGTGGAGCTGGGGGTGTATGAATATTCATCACTGATTTTTGAGCATTGCTTATAATAGCTCCAGATATGTACTTTTCAGTTAGGAGCATTCACATATGTGGCAGCTTTATTTCTGCATGTTTGTATGATGTAAAAAGGTTTCATCCACATCCCCTATCCTCCTCATAATTCACCCCTTTATTAAGAAGTACATAATTTGAATGTATATGTAATAATATAACCAAATAACATAAAGGTTTCAAATTACTGTATTTCTTTGGAGCTGACTTGTATGCATTTTTGTCATGTATGTTTAAGCACAATTGCTTTAGATACATATATATGAACTCTGAGAAACCACTTAATGCACTTGTGCAACAGCATAAGATTCATATGCACAGATATAATTATTGCATTCACCTTGTATGCACGCAACCCGCTCCTATGTGTAGCGCGATGGGCACTATTGCACAGCAGTAACAATATCGATTATTTACCCAGTCTGCCGTAATCAAGCATTGCGGATTGTGGAGCCAGCTTTTGGAGCTACCTTCATGTGCATCAGGTGATATTCAATTAGTTTCTCATTAGCCTGAATTGCTTAAAAGAATTATGAAAGCCCATATAAAAGTATTAATACTCTTTTAACTTCCTAAAGATATTCCAACAGGTGCTAGTCAGTGTAGAATATTAAATGAAGCAACTTGGATGTGAAGGATGAACAAATTCCTTTTCTTACTCATATATGACAATTTGTGTATGGAATATACAAAATGTGAAAAACAAATCATTGGCAATAAACATGACAGTGTGAAACGCTGAAAAACTGTTCAACTGAAAAACCAAATGAATATTTAAACCAGGTTGAATACAAGGTTAGCAAGGCAAGCAATTCAATGTGGACCTGTAGACATGTTGTGGGTGTAAAGTGTGTACAACGATAGTACGTCCATCTCTCTTGTACGGCTCCCTGGTCTGGTGGCCTTGCATTAGAACTGAGACAACTAAGGTCAAACTCAATAAAATTCAGCGTTTGGCCCGTATTAGCATTACAAGTGCAGTGCGAACAACGCCATTGAGTGCAGTGGAAGCTCTGTTGGATCTCCCACCGTTGGATCTGGTGATCCGCGGTGAAGCGAGAGTAGTCGGTCATCGACTGTGGAGTCAGGACAGCTTTCTTGAATCCTGTCAAGGGGCATACTGCCATCTTAGTCGAATTGCAAAGGGAGGACCCGTCCTAAGCAGGGGTGATCGTATTACCCCTAAATATCGCTTCAACCGCAAGTTTATTGTGGAGTATCCAACGAGGGAGGAGTGGGACGCCGGTAGACTCTCCGGAGTGAGCGGGCAGGTCTGGTACACGGACGGCTCGGTCACCGAAGAGGGCTCAGGTGGTGGGGTCTCTGGGCCTAGAACTATGCTATCTCTGCCTCTCTGTGGACACACCACTATTTTCCAGGCGGAAATCTTTGCGATTCTGGCTTGTGTATCTCACATTCTGGAGGGGGGTGGGCCTAGGAGAAGAATAACAATCTTATCAGACAGCCAGGCTGCAATGAAAGCACTAAGTGGCTGTAAGATTACTTCGAGTCTTGTATTGCATTGCAGGGAGGCTGGATTGGCTCGCATCCAGTATCGTTAATGTGGGTACCGGGGCACGCTGGGATAAGGGGCAATGAGACGGCGGACACTCTGGCGAAGACACGATCAGCCAGCAGGCTCGTTGGTCCTGAGCCAGCTCTAGGAGTGACCGCGCATAGAGCTAGGAGGAAAATGGAGACGTGGGTTGCAAGACAACACTCTCAGAAATGGAGAAGTATCTCCAGACATTTCCGCCAGGCACGGGAACTCATTGAAGGGCCCAGTGCTAAGGATGGACGTTTCTGCCTATCTCTGGATAGAGCCAACCTAAGGTTGCTGGTGGGACTGTTGTCTGGCCATAACATGTTAATGCGCCACCTGCACGTGATAGGGGTGTCTGAGGATCCCTTGTGTGAACGCTGCGGGCTAGAGGAAGAGACCTCGGCGCACGTTTTGTGTCGCTGTGAAGCTCTGAGCTACTAGAGGCAGACTATACTGGGGTCCATTACTTTGGACCCTCAGGACGCCAAGGAGCTTGGACTCAAGGCGATTCTCAACTTCGCTAAAAGAGAGAAGCTTGTGATCTAAGGAATGTAGAGGTGCATAAGGGCCCGCTTAAGCGGCCTATGCACTGGCTCCTTATGGTGTCCGGAATGCCTCTAATTTCAAGATTCATTCATTCATAAACCAGGTTGTATTTGGAAATACCTGCGAAACTAGTCCCTTGGTTATTGAAAAAAAAAACTAAATAAGTATTCTGAGCAAAGTATCATCAACATTGTTAACACTATGAACACTACACCCTGGTGTATGAACACATTGTACATCAACAAACGAGAAATACATACATTTTCAAGGTTTAGAAACGTATCATTGAATGCATCAAGAAGGAAGATGAACTGTCTGAAATCGAACAACAATTCTTCTGAAATTGTCATTAAATATATTATGAAGAGCTGTTTTGACATACTAAACATGAAAAGCAGTTAATAAATACAAAGGGTTCTACTATAACTCCTATCCCCAAAGTAAAGATTTCCAAACAGAACAATAAATTATGACCAGTAAATGATCTACCAGATGTTTATAAATCGTTAGAGTCGATAGTTGTGAGATGTTAGATGACCAAATATTGGAGATCTTAGCAGAAAACAAAATTTTAGTTGAAACTCATGCAGGATTTCAAAATAAATTTTCTATAGAAACTGGGGGTGGTGATAGCTGTATTTCTTGACTTGAAGAGAGCATTTGAAACAATAGATAGGGTCATACTGTTAAGTAAATTGGAAACATATGGTGTAAGTGTAAAAGTATTGAAATGGTTTTCAGATTATCTGACTAACGAGTAATTAAGCCCTACGGTAGTATCCTGGGACCACTTATTTTCATCTTGTATATAAACAATCTGCCCAGTATACTGAAAAATTGTAATTTCCAAAAATTTGCTGATATAATTTATGTAAATACTAAACATTTTCAATCAGGTATCTCTCTTAGGTTGAATTATGAACTACATTCTGAAGAAATTATCAGCTGAGTTAGTAGTAAAGTAGGCTATCATATTTCCGAGAGTTTAACTCATACAGTAATTTGGCTAATGATTCCATTTTCCAAAGATGACAGATCTTGCAAAATAAATGTATGAGAATAATACTAAATAAATATATGCCAATCAATTAAATGTTCAGTACATTAAAATGGCTGAACATTAATCATTTCATTAAACACCTAGTCATGATTTCAATTTATGAAATGAAAAATAATGTATTGCCTTCATGTCTATCTGCACTAACTTCTGTAAATGCTGACTCATTTTTATGATACCAGACACAAGCAGTATTTCTATTTAAATGCAAAAAACGCAGTATATGTACTAAATCGGCACGGGTATTACGTATCTTGAGAAGTGACATATCGATTTTTCTTGACATTGTACTGTTTTTTTTGTAGGTTTTTCGACAAGATAATTACTTAGCACTAGCTGATAGATACTTGTAAACTCGTTTTGTAGTTGTACGTGTTGCCTACACGTCGTGAGGTTTCAGTTATCAATGTTTGGCTATGATGTGATGTAAAATCTGCTTCAGAGATGGCATTACTGGAGGCAACGGCATAGTGAGGATTTGTGTTCTAATATGTGTTGATGATAATTCTATTGGATTCTTGTCTCAGATACACTTACTTGAGAATCAAGGCTAGAAATTAGTTGCACATCCACTTTTTCTTATCCATTCTGGAAATTACATATGCAATATTGCTGAATGTCAAAAATGAGAGAGATAAGAACTAATTATATTCACTGTACACTGTGGAATTACAAGTCATATACATGCTAACAATAATTACACACAACGCGGGCGCGGTGGTGATTTCCCGTAATTCTCCTCAGTTTTTGAAAAGACAAAAAACATAAAAAATCGTAATTGATAACTTTGAACATAACCGAAAGGACAACGTATAAATAACCTGTCGGGCACAGCTAATAGATATACTTCATTGGCACCATATTCAGTAATGATTTTCTCACACAGCAAATATCACTGATCTTATACACATGCAGATCAATAACCATATTTCTTCTCAGAGATGAAAACTATAGACCACTCGGCTTCACAAAACGTATGCAACGAACAATGCGTGTACGTTTAGTTGTCAATCCTCCATAGATGGACGCGTTGGATCGCGATCACAATGATCCTAGTGAGCAAACGTGGAATGACTGTTTGCACCCTAAAAACAACCTAGTCTGCAAGTTGACATCTTATAGTTTTTTTTGACGTTTTATAGGTTTTTTACGTAATAAATGTACGGTTTTCCATCAAAGCTGAATAGATTTGAACAAATTAGGTTCAAACTTGGCCCAGAAAACTTCAAATCAAAACTGAGAAACTCTATGTTAGAATTGCAAATATGATGATGCGCCATATGCTCTGAATTTATTATTATTTTTATGTATTACCTCAAATTGTTTATGTAGTCATTTGTGCTAAATAAATCTTTCTACTACTACTAATACATTTGAATGGTGGTGGTTGACTTTGACAACATTGGTGGATTGTGGCTTGTTGGTAAATACCGCCCTACAAAAAAAGTCTAATCACTTGTTCTTGACAGCCAATTCTCGTCACCTCTACGCGAGGTAATCCTACCGTCAGTACATCAGGCATAAAATCTGGTGACAGCAGATGTCACAGAGTCAAATCTTATCAGCAAAATGGAATTTTTCAGATTTTCACAATATACGCAACGATATATAGAAAACATTTTTTAGGTTGGGTTCACGTTCCAGTAAAAGACATAAGAGATAAGCCAATTCGAGTGTTTATGATACAGATAGCAGTAACCAGTAATCATCAAAATGGAAGAGATACCCACATGCGACAGATCAAGATCCACAGTCCTATAGAAAATACAGGAGTTCCAGTAGAAAATTTTCTCAATTTTTCTACTATGGATTTCCAACAGTATACTACCATAAGATAAACTAGCCAGCAGTTACAAGCTATTTATTATAAATTTTATATAATTTTTTTTACATTAAAAATATTTTCTAGTATGTTCGAGTATGTATTCTCAGTTGTCATAAAATCGGCAAAAAATATAGCCAATTTAGAAGGCACACACACACACACACACACACACACACACACATATATATATATATATATATATATATATATATATAACTTGAGACGTGGTCATTGTCGTCTAGACCAGTTAGGTGAAAAATTAAAGCTTCCGCCTTTTGTTGGGTACTTCGACACAATCATCAAGTGGCTTCACGATGTAATGCTCTAATGTTTTTTAAATAATTTTAATCTGTTTTTAACTTGTTCTTGTCATATTTTATATAATTTTGACCATTGTACCATCTATCCAGCTCTCACCATGTTACTGGACGTTTCCCTCATCCTATACGTAAACAACAATTAGCAACATCCTCACATACTACTCTCCTGATGATGATGGCAAAGTCCATTGAAAGCTAGAGAGAATTAAAAAAGTATAAAGAGTCCTCTTTGCTTAAATTTTGTCGAAGTACCCAACAAAAGGCGGAAGCTTTAATTTTTCACCTATATATATATGACATTTGACACAGAATAAACACCTTTTTTATTGAGTGATACCTGCGTCTCTAATATTTTAGCAACGGCTTGACCTTCTTAAGATAAAAGGCTTTATTTAAAAACTTCCCTGATTCAATTGTAGCAGGATAAAGTACTCATAATTATTATAATGCATTTCTATCAATTTAGTGAAATGAAACAAAAATAGTGTCCCTTATTAATTTAATGTTATTACTTTTGCAATATAGAAACGTTTAATATTGTGAATTATGGATAAATTGTTTTTTTTTTGACGATACGATTTTAGTATCATGTAACCAGTAACTATAGAAAAAAAGTGCGCATCATTTCCAGTAAAAAACAAAAAAGGCTACTTTTTATACACACTCAAATTTTCCTTGAATTATGCAAACTGATTCTGGATTTGTACCAGGGGTGCCCACAGGGAGTTAGTTGCCAGAGGGGCCGTTGCCACCCTGGGTTGGAAAATTTGCATATTTAGTATTCTTATTTTGTGTACTTTTTGGTGATTTTTAGGATTTGCCACCGTCGCTCCTCAATAAGTGGGAGCTGGTACATTTTCATAGATTTATCTCTTCCCGATGATTGGTCCCCCCACTTTACATTCTATACAAGATTCGCACAAAAGAAACACTGGATTTTTTTATTAGATGTATATTGTATGCCTTATTACATCCTATTTATATAAAAGTACAAAGCAATAAAAATGTCATTGAGTAAGCTTAAATTCGGGAGTGACCCTATTTTGGTGACGACATTTATTAACCGAATCTAATTTCGTGAGTTACAATTTTGCATTTATTTTCAATTCATCAACTATAAATACCTTCACTCGTATCTCAAATTGTTTACAACAAAATTATTAACAGGAATTTCTCACATTTTAGTGAGAAACTTATCTACTTCTTGTGGGAAATTAAGAAATTCATTGCATAGCCTTAGTAGCTTCAGACAAGTTTGTCTCACTCGGCATTTACGGTCGGACTTAACATTTACTGCATTTGAAATTCCAGGATAAAAATTTTCTTGAAATTTGATTTGGCCTTGAAGGTGATGGTCAAGGTTACTGTTGGGTGACCCGACAAACCGCACAAACATTTTTACTAGCGCAAGTTGTTTTTAATGCATTTACTTGAGCTTGAAATCGTCTTGGATGTAATTGTCAAAGTCATATTCGGACGTAGAATTTCTTCTTTCCAATTCCGGTGTAAAAAATCGGGAGTTCCATGTCAAAATATTCGACTAACCTCGAAATCACCTTTATGGTCGTAGTTGTCATGATTTTGCTCCCTCAAAACCTCATAACTTTTGTTTGAATCTTTTTTGTAGGACGCACAGTTTTCAAAATATTTAGATGGGGACATTCAAATAGGACACAATGTATATCACATATAGAAGTACTACATGTCTACATCTTAGATAACAAACAGCTGTGGTAGTACTCTATGTGACAGATTTCAATTTACAACTGATGGATGCTGAAGACATGTACAGTCAAATCCATATACCACCTGACGTCTTATGTGTTCGAGAGAGGGGCGCAAGAAGCATGCGATACATGTTTGAAAGAGATAGAAACACCTCGTTGCCTAGCAACCGAGTGACGAGGCCACGGACGCCATCTGCGCACTCTTTCTAACATACGTACCTTAGCAACCCGAGTGACGGGACCACCGATGTACCTGCATAATGCTGGCTACACACGATCCGGTAGGCCTGTCAGTTCGAACTGAATAGTCCGCCTGAAGACCGGTCGCCTGAGCGTGTATACAGGGTGACTTCGAAGTTGAGTCATTTATTTTAACAGTGAGTAGATCTGATCAAAAGAAATGTTTTTTCCGTTACCATTTTTCTGGTAAAATTAAAGTATCAAAGTTATAGCCCTTTGGAAGTTTGAGTACCGCCCTGTCTCAATAATAATAGCATGTGCTCGTGTTTGGCAACAACGGATATAATCCACCTTATCGGTTCATCGCATCGGAAACAAAAAAGCGAAAGAATTTGGAACGATGTTTTTATTTCATTCAGTTCAGTTATACATACAGTCAGTGTCAGTCGCGTGTGAATAGTGTCTGTTGCGTGCCTCAAACGAAATAAAAAATGGCACATGTTTATGCGGATCGGTTTCCCAATCGAGTGCAACCAACCCCTCGTGGCTTTGTTAATGTAGTACAACGGGCTCGTGAATCAGGTGACTTAAGACCTCACAGGGCACCTCACAATCAAATACAGGTCCGCACTGAAATACTTGTCGGGAGGATACTTTATAAAACAAGGTAAAAAATTTTTGTTAATTTTTTTTTATTTTTACACACATATTTTGGTTTATCTTCCTTCTACAATCATTATCTGAAAATTAATGACTCAACTTCAAAGTCACCCTGTATATTCCGGTCGACTTGTCAATTAAGACTGTTCAGGCGGCCGGAGAAAAATCAAAAATATGTTCGTTTATCTGTCCGACCTGACGTACTCAACGACAAGCCTGAACGTGTGTATGGCGCGGCCGCCTGTTTTGACATCCGGCTGTCAGGCCAAACAGATCAGTTTAATACAGAACCAGAGTACAGAAGTCGTTACCATGTCGCGAGAAAGAGAAAACACGTGTTTAGAAGAATTTATCGCAATGAGTTGTGCCTATGGCAAGTAAAATCGAAAGACTATCACGACCGTGGCAAGAAAGAAGCGGCGTATTTAAAATTAATAGAAAAATTGATCCTCCTTGTACGAAGTCTACTGTTTTAAAAAAATTAATAATTTGAGGAGTAGTTTTCGAAAGGAAGCAAAAAAAGTGAAGGATTCAATGAGGACGGGATCAGGGGCCGATGAAGTTTGTCATCCCAAACTTTAGTATTATGATTTGTTGAAGTTTGTGGACGACCAAGAAGTCTCTCGAAACTCTCGAAGCAAACCGGTGTGAAGTTGGCAGACAAAATTTAGCGGACAATTTGCCGAAGATACCCAAATGACCAGTGGCGTCGACATCCTCGACCAGACTGTGATTGTGAAGGATACAGCTAACAGCTCGCAACAATAAATATATATATGCACGAGAATAAGCACCCCTATAGGAAGAATCATTTTCCACCCTAATTAAATAATTGGCAGGAACAAGAGTTAACCCACAACCTTTCTTCGAGTTTTCACTTACCGATTACTGTATTGAAAGTAATTAATGAGCTAAATAGCATATACTGAGAAAATCTCTAAAGGGGTGCTAGATGAAAAAATATAAATAAAACTTCATTTTCACCCCCAAAAAAATGATTCCACAAAATGATTTATATCTCAAAAAAATACTCTATAACAGAGACAATTCATGGGCTAGGTGGCATGGTGTGAGAAAGCTTCTGAAAGTCTGGCAGATAAAAAAATATGCTAAAAAATTCATTTTCACCCCCAAGGAAATGATTCCCCAAAATCAGTTGTACCTCAAAGAAATACTCTATTATAGAGACAATTTATAGGCTAGGTGGCATGGTGTGAGAAAGCTTCTGAAAGGCCGGCAGATAAAAAAATATGCTAAAAAATTCATTTTCACCCCCAAGGAAATGATTCCCCAAAATTAGTTGTACCTCAAAAAAATACTCTATTATAGAGACTATTTATAGGCTAGGTGGCATGGTGTGAGAAAGCTTCTGAAAGGCTGGCAGATAAAAAATATGCAAAAAAAATTCATTTTCACCCCCAACGAAATGATTCCCCAAAATCAGTTGTACCTCAAAAAAATACCCTATTATAGAGACTACTTATAGGCTAGGTGGCATGGTGTGAGAAAGCTTCTGAAAGGCTGGCAGAAAAAAAATATGCTAAAAAAATTCTTTTTCACCCCCAAGGAAATCATTCCCCAAAATCAGTTGTACCTCAAAAAAATACTCTATTACAGAGACTACTTATAGGCTGGGTGACATGGTGTGAGAAAGCTTCTGAAAGGCTGGCAGATAAAAAAATATGCTAAAAAATTAATTTTCACCCCCAAGGAAATGATTTCCCAAAATCAGTTGTACCTCAAAAAAATACTCTATTATAGAGACTATTTATAGGCTAGGTGGCATGGTGTGAGAAAGTTTCTGAAAGGCTGGCAGATAAAAAATATGTTAAAAAAATTCATTTTCACCCCCAAGGAAATGATTCCCCAAAATCAGTTGTACCTCAAAAAAATACTCTATTGTAGAGACTATTTATAAGCTAGACGACAAGGAGAGATAGCAGATAAGAAAAATAAGTTAGAATTCATGTTCACCTCCAAGGAAATAATTCCCTAGAATGCGACATAGCCCAAAATTTCTGAAATTAGTGGACCAGATCACGCTATATGGTATCTACTAAAGAAAGGGCAGGCAAATGTATATATTAATGGAAACTTATTATATCTAAGTGAAGCATTTAGTTAGTTGGCTCTGCAGAGGTCACATATTTTATTACGCATTTTCTCGTTTACGTCTATATTTTTCTCCAATTCTGCTGC